CAGGGAGGAGAGTGGGTGGCCGCCTCGACGACCACGCGGCATGCCCTGAGAGGCCTTTCCTTTTGTCACTAGGTTTTGTTTTTTGTTTGTTTGTTTGTTTGTTTGTTTTTAAATTTTTTCTTAGTTTCCTTCCTCTGGTGGAAAGCCCTTTTGCTTACTGGTAAGGGGGAAGTAGAGGAGGAGATTAATAACCCTTGAGTGAGGGGCGAAGATGGAGAGAAGTGCCCAGGCCTTAGACTATGACAGTGATGAAACAGTGATTGAGGGGTCAGTGACAGAGAACGAACTGGAAGATGAGGAGCTGCCCTGGAGAAGGTACGCCTTTTGTTGATTTTGTCCCTCAGCAGCATACTAGCACTATATTCATGTGGTGATAAAATAACCTGAGGGGCCCGGCAGAGGTGGTGCACGCCTTTAGTCCCAGCACTTGGGAGGCAGAGGCAGGAGGATCTCTGTGAGTTCGAGACCAGCCTGGTCTACAGAGTGAGTTCTAGGACAGCCTCCAAAGCCACGGAGAAATGCTGTCTCTAAAAACAAACAAACAAAAAACAAACAAAACCAAAAACCCTGAGGGAAGGTTGGAGCAAAAAAAGCAAAGCATGGGAGACACAGGCTTTTAAATGGTGACATTAAATTAGCTCATGAAAGTAACTGTTTTGATCAAGATCTATGTATGCCAAAATAGAGGTTCTCCTACTGATGAAGGCAGAATGTTGCCAAACACTGTTTTTGGACCATTATGTTGAAAGCATGTTTTAATTAGATGTTTTTAACTAAATTAAAAGCTCAACATGGTGTTAGGACTTCATTGCTAAAATTTTTATACACATAAAATTAAAACCTCAATTTATTAACCTTTAATAACCAGCAAAAATTATTTTAAATCTCCAGTCAGGTTTTAACCTGAAAAACTTCTTTTAGTTCAGTCTGTTAAATTCCCTCCCTTTTTAAATGGCTAATACTTTTCAGTGTTTCATCTTTCTAATATTAGCTATACTTCATTATTAAAATACTACATCCATGGAATATTCATGATTTTTGGTTTTCTTAAGACAGGTTCCCAGTCTTATTCCAGGCTGGCCTATATAACTCACTGTAAAGCACAGGCTGGCTTTAAACTCTTAGTACCCTGTCTAGGTTACTCTCTCAAGTGCTGGGATTACAGGCATGAGCTGTAACATATAGCTGTGATTTTGATAATTGAATTTTTGAAGTTTGTCACATAATTAAAAGGAATTTTATTCAATCACAGTAATAAAGTCCTTCATATTCCCTTCCTTGTCCCTAGAATTCTTTTGAAAACACTCCTTTTGTTCTTACTGGTTTGAAATGGCACCTCTTTAAAAAACATGTTTGTGTATGTAAATGTGCATGTGTGTTGATGTCCATGGACCTATAGAAGATTGTAGGAGGGTCTAGCCCACTGTGTGGAGCACCACTCCTGGGCATGTGCTCCTGAGTGGTATAAGAAAGCTGAAAAAGGCTGAGCAAGTCATGGACAGCAAGCCAGTAAGCAGCTCTCCTCCATGGCCATGCTTGAGTTCCTCCCCTGGCTTCCTTTAATATTGGATTGTGATGTGGAAGTGTAAGATGAAATAAATCCATTCTTACCAAAGTTGCATTTGGTCATGGTGTTTTATCACAGCAATAACCAAGATAATCTTAACTAAGACAATCAAGAGCTATTAATATGTCTCTTGTCCCCCTAAATCAAACATAATGACAAAATACTTGCAAAAATGAATATAACTAGGTGAACATTTTTTCTTCTTGGATAAAATTCTATATTAAAATAAATGTTCCTGAAATAGTACTTTGAAATGTAAGTATTTATAGTAGTATAAAGAACTTTAGCAATTTAAGTTGTAATAAAAATGACAACTAAAATGTTAACTCTGATATTTTGGAAATATCTAATCTTTTCTTTTTTGCTTTTGAAAGGTTGCTCTTGAATCGAGACACATCTTTGAAATCTGAGTTCTGTTTTCATTCTGGTGTAAATGGAATGTGGAAAGGTGAGAAAAACCTTTTACTAGATATTGTCAATGTACCAAGTATCATTCTGTTAACTTCTTATTATATGTTACTCTTCTTCCTTAACTTACACAATTTATTACATGCATTTGTAACAGATCCTAAGATGTCTTAAGATCTGTAATAGGGATAGCAATGGGAACTGTAGCTTCCAGAGGCTGTCGAGGGCTCCTAGAAAGGGTCCAGAAGTATTGAAGTGGCAGCTGGACAGCTCTTCTCATCATCTTCTAATCTCTAGCTTAACTCTGAAACCTGTATGTAAAAGTACAAAATAACATTCTTTAAAAATTTCAGGGTTTATTGTTTATTTTTAAAACTTAGAACACAGAGTAATGAATTCTTTTATGGCCTTTTCATACATACATGCTATTATAGTTCTTATTTATCTCTCATCAATAAGACATGTGTGTGACTGAGTGTGAGTACAAATGCGTATGTATGTGCATGCATTTGGAAGGACAACCTCTATCATCTCTCAGGCATACAACCTTTTTTTTCTTTTTCCTGGAACTTATCAAGTTAGGCTGCTTTGTCAACAGGGAATCCTTGTGTTGAGATTTGTTTTGTGTCCCAGTATGTAATCTGTTTTAGAGAAAGTTTCCTGGGCTGCTGGGAAAAATGTGTATTCTTTCGTGTTTAGGCAGAATTTCCTGCAAATACCTGTTAGGTCTGTTTGATTTATGATGTCATTTAACTACAATTTGTATTTAGTATTTTTTTTACCAAAATTTTTTTTTTTTTTTTTTTTTTTTTTTTTTTTTTGTCCAGATGACTTGTCATTGGTAAAAGTCATAGTATTGAAACCACCCCCTATCAATGTGTTGGAATCTGTGGGTTTAAGTCTAATAGGTTTTTGTGTGCGTGCGTGCGTGCGTGCGTGCGTGCGTGCGTGTGTGTGTGTGTAATTGAGTGTTCCTATATTTGATGCATATATGTTTAGGGTTATAATATCCTGTTGTTTTCCTTTAATGAGTAGAGAGTGTCTCTCCCATCCTTTCTAACTAGTTTTCATTTGAAGTCTGTTTTGTCAGATGTGTTTTTCACTTTTTTGCTCTAAGATTGTGTTTGCTGTTGGTTGTGAGGTGCACCTTTCTTGGAAGCATCAAAAATACAGATCCTGTTTTCTAATTCAGTCTGTTAGTCTTTGTGTGTTGGGGGGATTGACACCATTGATATTAAGAGTTACTAAACCATGTGTGACCTAATGTTTGTTACTCTTGTTAAACCACTTTGAGTCAGTGTTCTGGAGTTGTTTGTTTCTTGTGTCTTCTCCAGCATGCTTTAAGATCTTCAGATCTGCTGGCCAGTGGTGGAGCTTGCCTTTAACCCCAGCACTGGGGAGGCAGAGGCAGAGGCAGGCAGATCTCTGTGAGTTTGAGGCCAGCCTGGTCTACAGAGTGAGTTCCAGGACATCCAGAGCTACACAGAGAAACCTTACCTCAAAAAAACAAACCAAACAAATCAAAACAACAAAGATCTTAAGATCTAAGCAATTCCTTTCTGTATCCTATGGTGGTCATAGTTTTTTAAAATCTGGAAAGTTTTCTTTTTCCTTTGATTATGACCAATAGTTTTTCTGGGTACAGTGGTGATATCTGTGCTCTTTACTAACTTGTAGAACATTGGTCCAATCCCTTTGGGCTTTCAGTCTCCATTGGAAAATCAGCTGTTAATTCTGATGGGCCTGCCTTTATATGTGACTTGATCTTTCTCTCTTGGTGCTTTCACTATCCTTTCTTTGTTCTGTCACTTAGTGTTTTGATATGATGTGGGGAGGAGTTTCTTTCCTGGCTTTGTCTATTTGATATTCTTTATGCCTCTTGGACTTTGATGGACATTTCTTTCCTTAGATTAACAAAGTTTTATGTAATCTTACTGAATATATTTTCTAGGCATTTGAGCTGGGTCACATTATTCATAGATTTGGTCTTTTTATAGTGTTCCGGACTTCCTGCAATTCCATTCTTGGGTGGGTTGTGTGTGTGTGTGTAATTCAACATTTTCTCTGATCCATTCCTCTACTCTGCTTTCAACATTCTCTGATACAGTTCCCTTACTTGTCTTCAAGACCTGATGTTCTGTCTTCAATTTGATCCTATCCAAAATAGCTGATGTATAGGAAGCATTTGCCAAAATGTCAGCCTCAAAAAAATCTATCAGTGAATCTTTATTCTGATTTTTTTGTTTGAATTTCCTAATTTTTTATTTCAAGTTTATTTTATTCTTCAAAGATTTTGTTTTTTAAATTCCATTTTCATATATTGAATTGTTTTTGTTATATCATTGATCTGTTTTTGTTTTCTTTCCAGCATTTATCATATCCTTATTGAATACTTTGATCTTGTTTATTATCATTTTCTTGTATGTCATCTAAGTCACTTTTCTTGGGGGACATTACTGTGTGAGAATCATTTTTGGAGGAGACCTATATTTTTGGTTATTCATACTTTTTGTATTTGCAGTGGAAGTCAGGTCATTGGTAATGTTTCTTAGTATGAGAATTCAGTTTTTCTTGTTTACTGAGTGTTGGAGCCATGTTTCCTGTTACCCCAACTTGTCAGGTGTTTGGTCAGCTGTATGGGTTAGGGTCTTAGGGAAGCCTTTAAGCAATTCACTGTTAATGTCCATTGGGGTATCAGAAGTAGTCCCAGTTCAGCTTGAGCTAAGTAAGGTTTCTAAACCCAGGAGCAGACTTACTATATAGTCAGATGATTCCCACAGCCAGTCTTCAGGAGCCTGGGGGAGGTGTTTAGGACTTTTCCTCAGGTAACCTGGGATGGATCCCTACCTAAAGAGAAAAGGCACTTCTACCTGCTGAGCTTTCTCATGGCTCTGGATTTGTCTTTCTGTGTCTCCTTTATTATGATTTCCAATTCCATTAATTTTTTCCCTGCAATGTCATGATGTCATTTTTATTTGTGAATGCATGATATTGCATTGTGTATATGCACCACATTTTCTTCATCTGTTGATGGACATCTAGGCTGTTTTTGCTTCCTGGCTATTGTTAATAGTGTATCTATAAGTATGGATATGTAAATGTCTCTATGGTTTGTTGATTTAGAATTCTTTAGGCATATGCTTAAGAGTGGGATAGGTGTGTCATATGGTAGTTTTATTTTTTAGGGAACATCCCTGGTGGCTGTAAGAGTTACAGTACCAACAGTAGTGTATAAAGGTTCTTCTTTTTCATATTCTCACCAGCATTTGGTATTTGCTTTCTTGAAAAAAAAAATCATTTACATCTAGGGTGAGGTGGAACTCTGCAGTTTTAATTTGCATGTCTAGGACAGCTAAGAATGCTGAACATTTTTTTCAAATATTTATTGGCTCTTTATGTTTGTCTTACTGAGATTTCTATTATTCAGTCTATCAGTACATTTTTTGTTTGTTTTTGGCTTTTTGGCGCAGGACCTCACTATGTAGTTCTCTTGGAACTCTCTCTGTGGACCAGGCTGGCCGAGATCTGGTAACAGAGATCTCCCTACCTCTCCCTTGTGAGTGCTGGAATTAAAGGCATGTGTTATCATATTTCTGATTAGATGATTTTTCTTGTTTTTAATCTTTGAAGGTCTTTATATACTCTAGCTATCAATCCCATATCTGATGTGTAGCTGAGATATTTTTCCCAGTCTATAGGTGGCCTCCTCACTGTGATCATTGTTTCCTTTGATATACAAACACTTTTTTTTCATGTAATCTCGTTTGACTATTTTGAGATTATTTCTTGTGCTATTGGTGTCCTTTCCAGAAAAATCGTTATGCCTGTATCTTGAATTATTTTCTTCTAGAAATTTCAAAGTTTAAGGTCCTACATTAAGGTTTTAATTAATTTTGAAGTGAGTTTTTACATAGGTTGAGTGATAGGCTCTGGACTCACTTTTTAAAAATTTATTTTTAAAAATAAATTTTTTATTTTTAAATATGTGCGCCTCTGTGTGTGTGTGTGTGTGTGTGTGTGTGTGTACATGCACCCATACAGTTTGGAGGATATCCTTGGGTCTCATTCTCAGAAACAATGTCTGCATTTCAGACTGGATCTCTTATTGGCCTGGATCTCGATTATTAGACTAAATTGGCTGTCCAGTAAGCTCCAGAGATCATCTTGTCTCTACTCCCCAGTGCTGAGATTATAAGCATGTGCTATCACACTCAGCATTTTTACATGTGCTCTAGAGCCAAACTTATGTCCTTGTGCTTTTAGGGTGAATAAGTGCTCTACTGGCTGATCTGTATCTCTAGTCTGCTTTCATTCTTCAGTGCTTAATATGTTTAGAATATTTTTGAATATGGGAAAAGAAGAATTCTAATTTTATTGTTTCAAGTAATAAACGTAATTGTCCCATTTTGATATAATGAGTACTCCATTTTATTCTGTTTAAAACACTATGGTTCTGAAATATTACATTAATTTATAAATTGCTTTATTTATGTTGTGTGTGTATATATCAGAGAACAATTGTGAGAGTTGGTTCTCTCCTTCTACCATGTGTGTCCTAGGGATTGAATTTAGGTGGTCAGCCTTGGCAGGATGCAACTTTACCCACTGAGCCATCTTGCTGGGCCATGACACATTAAATTTCTATTTGCATTTATACAAATTTATTTGTGATTATTTCTGTGCCATTAGTATGTTAGTATCTTAAGATCTTAGTGTATTTCAAAGAAATCATATAGTTACTTCTGAGGTAGCTTTATGTTGAATGACAAAGTGTGTCTTAGCTTGGGTTGCTTTAACAAAATGACAAAAAGCACTTTATCCACCAAGACATCTCCTCAGTTCTAGTGTATAAAATTTTCTATGTATACTCATTGCATTCCTTCCTCCCGAGGCCAAGAAATACCAAGCATTGTTTTGTTCAGTGCAGCATGATTCACTACTCAGAAATAATAAAACAATATTGACATATAAAAGTCACAGTTAAGAAACTATGATATGGGGCTGGAGAGATGGCTCAGAGGTTAAGAGCACTGACTGCTCTTCCAGAGGTCCCGAGTTCAATTCCCAGCAACCACATGGTGGCTCACAACCATCTGTTATGAGATCTGGTGCCTCTTCTGGTGTGCAGATTTACATGGAAGCAGAATGTTGTATACATAATAAATAAATAAAATCTTAAAAAAAGAAACTATGATATATAATCTTTTGGACTGTGCTAGGATTTGAACACAGGCCTCATACATGCTAAACATGCACCCTGACATTAAATAATATATAACATTAGTCCCTTGTCAAATGACATTTTACCATATTTATAAAATTCTTGAATTCATGCCTGGTGGTGGTGCATGCCTTTAATACAGCACTCGGGAGGCAGAGGCAAGCAGATCTCTGTGAGTTCTGCTTGGTCTACAGAGGGAGTGACAGGACAGGCTCCAAAGCTGCACAGAGAAATCCTATCTTGAAAAAACAAACAAAAAAATTCTTGAATTCATATAAAAGTAGAATAATAAAACTAGTACAAGTAACTGATTAATTATATTTCATTATAGGAAATATTCCTTCCCCTGTGATTCAACTTGGGCTCAAACTCGGGAAGGACTCAGAAGAACAAAAGGATAAAAACGAGGTGATACCCACTCTTAGTGAGGACGGAGTATTACAGGTGCATTGATGTTGTTTGAACATATACCTATCAAAAGCTGGAACTGCTGTCTGGCAAATTACTAATTATAAGATGTTGGGGTTTTTTTTGTTTTGTTTTGTTTTTGTCTATTATTGTTTGGGTTCTCTTCCTTTGTTCAGTTATTATTCTTTTAAAAAGCAATCATTCAATTTCTTTGTTGCAAATTTGATGAGGGTCATTTGTTTTAGGACAGAGAATTTAAAATATTTCCCCTTTTACTTTTCTTTTTCAGTGGAGTTAAGGTAGTAAAAGGAACAGAAGTTAGACATAGAATATAATAATTATTATTTTCATTTCTATTTTGTATCAGTTCATTTTAAAGCTTGTGAAGAAAATACCAGTCTGTGGTGTAATTTTATATATATAACATTAAAGACCCTCTGTTATCTTTGTTTGGGAGTGTGTGTGTGTGTGTGGGTAGTCTAAGAGTTATTTGCTTCTTTTTAGTACAAAACTACTGGGGGAAGTAGGGGACAATTTAGTTAGCACTTTGGCTTGATTAAGTGAGCCATCCTGGGATACCTACTTACAAAGTCTTAAGGAATGGAAGGGAAGATACATAATATCAATATGTTTGTTTTCAAGACAGGATCTTACTTTGTAGTGCAGGCTTGTCTGGGACTCAGGCTGGGCTTGAATTTGGGAGTCTTCCTGACTCTTCTTTTCTTCTTAAAAAAAAAAAAAAGAACAGGTTTATTAGAAAAACTTGAACAAAGCAAAGGTGTGTTGTCCAGGCATAGGTAACTGACAGACCAGAGAAGGAGCACTGACTGCATAGAGGGTTTCTGAAGTCTGGGTTTTTATTAAGGTCTTTTTCCTTGGGGGTTAGGGAGGCTTTAAACTCCTAAAAGACATATCTCTTCCACATGAAAGGCAGGAGTTTTTACCTAAATGGTCAGCCTAGGACTATCATGGCACCATTTTGCCCAATAGAACTGTTAATGATATTAACAGGCCCAGAGGTTGCTCATTGCAGGGAATTTTTGCTTTCAAAGCACAGTGAGCCAACCTCTCACTGCTGGAGAAAATATCTGACCTGTGCAGTTTAAGAAAGGAGGGGTTTATTCTGGCTTACAGCTATGAGATCCTTACTGTTATGATAAATTTCGAGGGGGACCGAGGCAGGGACAAACATGCCAGGCAGACAGAGCTTAAGTGAGAAGTTTTTATTAGAAAGGGAAGAGGGGGCAAGGAAAGGGAAAAGAGGTAAAGAGACACAGAGACAGAGGCAGAGGACAGAAGAGGAGAGGGAGATAGGAAAAGTCCTGTGTGCCCTAAGGGGAACAGCAGGGAAGAGAGGGAAAAGAGTGTAAGTGGGCGGAGGTCTTTCTTTTAAAGGGGTCCTTTGCACCTGGGCTGACCAGCGTACTGCCTGAGTGCATTCTGTCAGGTGACAGGGGGCAGGCCAGCATAAAGCCTGAATCCTTACCTCATGGGGAAGCTGCCTCTGCCTCCTAAGTGTTGGGACTGCAGACATGAGCTACACCTCTCTCTCTCTCTCTCCCTCCCTCCCTCCCTCTCTGTCTCCGTCTCTGTCTCTGTCTCCTCTCCTCCCCTCTCTCTCTCTCTCTCTCTCTCTCTCTCTCTCTCTCTGTGTGTGTGTGTGTGTGTATGTGTGTGTAGGGATGCACATGCATATGTGTGAGTGGGTTTACTCACACCTCTGTATGTATGCATATGAAGGCCATCTCCCCATTTATATGTTTTAGTAGTCAAAATTACAGGTGACTGAAGATTTATTTATTTCCACACCTAGGAAGGTTTATTTCATGCATTATCATTGATAAAAAGAGAAGATTCAATGCCAAATATTTTTTTCCTTGAAAATGAGATACCTGTGTTTGGCTTCTAATAGTTTGTTTGTTTAAATTTTTCTTTTGAAATTTCTGAGTTAAGAAAAAATAGCCTGGCGGTGGTGGCGCACACCTTTAATCCCAGCACTTAGGAGGCAGAGGCACGTGGATCTCTGAATTCGAGGCCATTGTGGTCTACAGAGCAAGTTCCAGGACAGGCTCCAAAGCCATACAGAGAAACCTTCTCTCACTGCCCCCCCTGCCCCAACAGCCCACAAAAAAACCTTCCCCCCCCCCCCCCCCCCCCCCCGCGCCCCTGCAAAAAAAGAAACAAAAATTAGTTTTTTAGCTAGCTTCTGTAACTGAAATAAGAAATTATGTATGTACATACGAATACGTATATTCATATATGTATGTTTCCTTTTTCTTGTGGTTCTGGGGATTGAACCCTTACCCTCAACAGGTAAGTACTGTAGCAGTAAGCTATGTTCCTAGCCTTTCTGAAAAATTTCCTACTTATTTGATAAGCATTTGTGATGCGATTTTGTACCAGCCCCTTGATTGTTCCTTAGAATATGGTTTTGAATCATTGATTATCATAGTACTTAGAGTAACTTTTAAAAAATAATGGATTGCCACACCTGTACTGGGTAGAACCTGGACATGTCCAATTTTGGAGTCTCCCAGGTCATTTCCAGTGATAAGCAATTTGGGCACAATTGCCTTAGATGCTTCCAAGTTAGTGAAGGTGCCTTTCTGAGGTTATCATTAGATAGTAAATTAGCCATATGTTCATTCTAAAATTAGGATGTGAAAGATAATGAATAATTAATATTTTCCCTCTTTTTAAATGTTTTACTGGAAAAGTAGAGACCTCTTTTAACTTTACTTTATGCCCACATTTGTTTTGGGCTACAGTAAACTTTACATGTTGCTACTTTCATCCAGCTTTGTGTTCTATCAAAAGATGCCTTTAGAAATTTAACTATCTGAGAGGAATTTTATGTGTCAGAAATAAAAAATAAAATGTTTCCCCAGAGTTATTTAAAAGAAAAAATACTATTTTTATAACTTGAATCAGACTTCTAAAATAATTTCTACTTAAAAAGTTAAATACCAGACGGCAGTTTACTTCAAAGAAGACTTATTTTGGATGTGATGAGCTATTATAGATGAGGACAGACTGGGAAGGAAGATCTGTGGTTTGATGTCTATCATGCTAATTAAAAAAATACAGATACCAGGCTCTATAGTAGTTCATTCTCATTACTTTTTGCTCGGCATTGTAGTAACCTTGTTTAATCTCTGTATTACTATATGACAAGCAGTTTATATTAACTTTTTATCATTGTGGCAAAATGTCTGAGAAAGTCAAATCAAAGTATTTATTTAGGTCAACAGTGTCCAGAATTGTGTTTCTATCCCTATAGACCTATGGCAGGCAACATAAGCACAGTAGAGCCGCTCTTACTTATGGCAGCTGAGAAAGAGTGAGAGTAGAAGTGGGGATCTAGGACAGGCAGACAGAACCCAGGAAGAGCCAAATGCACTCTTCAAAGGTGTGGACTGCTTCCTATAATAGACCTGCCTCTTACATTGCCACTATTTCCTAATAGTGCTACCAGCTGGCACCAAGCCTTTAACCTGTGAGAAGGGGTGGAACATTCAGGTTTAAATCATGACATAGTTTTACGTTCTTGTGTGCCTAAGTTCTTACTTTGTTTGAAGAATTTAGTGATCTGTCTAGAGAGAAAATTGGAAATATATGTATCTATCCAAGTAGTTGGCATGATAGTCAATGTTGTGTGTTAACTTGACTAGATCACTAGGTATCTATCTGGGTAGACATTTAAATGAGGGTAGCTTGGCTGAGACCAGAATTTATTTATTTATTTATTTATTTATTTACTTATTTGCTTATTTATTTAGTGGTGCTAGGGATTTAATTTGTATTCTTTTGCATGCTGAGTAACAAACACTCTGTCATTGAACAAGGAGCACTTTGACTCACCAGGATTGTCATTAATACTATTAGTGTCCTTTTTCTGACTCAGGAGCTCATCCTGATTTAATTCTTACAGTCCTAGAGTTGCCCTTGCTGCCAGGAACTTGCAGTAGCTTAGAAATATTTCTGGAAAGTAGTAGCATTAAAACAGGGCTTTGGGACCTGGCTTAACTTGAGCTAAGACATTTCTAGTTCAATCACTTTGTGTTTAAGTTATTCTTGAATGCTAACAAGTGAAATGTCAAGCAACCATTTGACATTTACTAATACTGAAGCAATAAATAGATGGTACTGTGTGTACAGGTAATAGCCCCTAATGAGCAGTCATATGTATATTTAGAATATTTTTAATTTAATATTTTAAAATTACATGAAAATCACCAAATTTAGACTCCTCAGTCCAAGAGAAATATATGTAAGGGAAATACTATCCATGATTTAGTAAGTAAAATACTGAATATCTGTTATGAATAATCTTCTTTAGTGCATGTGACGGTAGTTTATGTGAGATACTGAGTTTTCATGGAGAACCAAGGTATTTATTCTGATCTTTTTTTGTTGTTTATACTGGCTTTGCCAATCTCAGTAATCTATCTGAAGAGCTGAAGAGAGTGACAACATAGTAAAGGGTAATTTCTTTAGTTAATGACATAAGCAGATTTGCCTCTTCTTAGATCCTCCAAATTAATTCAGTTAACCTAATCTCTTACATTTTATTTTCAAAAAATAAACAGTAAGACACCTATATATTTTAATTTCTGATCAAAATATGAAGATGTAGGAGCTAGAAAAAATGTAGTCATGTATATAAAAGGAACAGATAGCAATTTAGGTCTCTTGTGAAAAAAACGGATGGAAGTGTATCCTTCCAGTTTGTTAACTGATAAATAGATAACATCAGTCACCATTGTATTTAGTGTCTTTAGTTCTTGAAGGAGTTGCTGCTTGTGGAGGGGAGAAATAGAAAATAGTGTCTTTGTAATTACTTCATGTGGGAATGATCATGAGTAGTTGCCCGCCATAGGAAAATCCATTGGCCTTTTATGAAGATAAGTGAAATGGACAAGACAGGCACCTGAATGAATTGTTTTGTGAGATGCAAAAATATTGTTTCAGTAGCCTTAATTTAGGCCCCTCAGGGCCCATAGAGAAGCTATTTCTCTGGCTTGTGTGGAGACCTTACCTTATAAACTACTCAAAACATAAAAGCTAATCCAAACTGGGCTGGCATCTGGCATTCAGCCAGAACTAGGAAGGTGGGCTCACCTTACCCAATGCTAAAGAGATAGGCAGGATAATGAATTAGCCTTTTAATGAAATACTGTATTTTTCCTTTCCAGAATTCTCATGTCCTGGCACAGCCCCTATGAGCTCCATATAGTTTGTCTGAATCTGTCTGACAGACTGACTTCTTTTCTTTTCTTGTCTTTTTCTTTCAGAACCTAAGAATGTTTAGTTATTTGTTTTTGTGCTCTGGGCTTTCTTACTCTTCCAAAGGTCCTTTTATGCTGTGTGACTGACCTCTATACTAGTTTATCTCACACATGACTTTATCCCCATTCTTTATGCTCTGCTCAGCTGCTAAGATTTGCAGCCTGTCTGTTCTAGGGGTTTTCTTTTAAATGGTAATGCATTTTTTTCAAGTTTCCTTTTGAGTCCTTTCTTAAATTATTTCATTAATGAGACTAAGAACTACAAGAAGGAATTCTAATTGCCTCAGTAGCAGTATTTAGAAGCATGTAGGTACATTCTTAATGAACTGATTCTGGGGTGAGGCTAATTTTGTCTTTAACCTTTGAGTCTCTTAGGTTTTATAAAGCTTGTGTAGAAGGATACTTTGTTGTCTGTAGGCTGCATAGTCAGTGAATAGCATAACATTAATTGGAGAACATGAAGGTGATTTATTTTCAAATTTTGAAACATTTTATTTGAAGTAATAGAAAATCTTAGAACAAAGGGGGAAAGATTTTATTTTGATTCCCTTTGGCTAGCTATAGTACATTTATAATTGCATTTGCTATCTCAAGCTTTTTCAAGTTAAAATTTCACCCGATTTATTTTATATTAAAATGTCATTTTGTCCTTTCCCTGAAGAGGACTTTATCAGTGAATTTTATCTTTTTTGAACAGGACACAATAGCTTTAGTTTTTCTGGTCTGATATGCGAGTTAACAGAATCAGCCAATCATTTAATGTACAACAGTACATTTTTGTCTTAAGGAGGAATACTGAGGACTCAGAACCTGACAAGAATGGCTCCTCAGAATCATCATAGATGAATGAAGAGAAGGGACATGTGGAGTAAAATTCCTTTCCCTCTCTCTTTGCTCACATCTCATGTTATTGTTTGGATGTCCCGCGAAGCCTCACTTACGTGAATATTTGGTTCCCAGAAGATGGCACTATTTTGGGAGCTCATGGAACCCTTTAGGAAGTAAAGCCTAGTGAGTCAGAGAGCAGAAGGTTCTTCCCAGCACTCTTTTTCCTGGTCTACTAAATGTAAGCAATCTGTGCCACAAGCTCCTGCCACCCCAGCGCCCAACCACTGTTATTCTCCTGCCACATCTGGACTGTGAGCCAAATTAAATATCTTTCTTTCTTTAAATTGTTTCTGTCAGGTATTTAGTCATAGTAATGAGAAAAAAATAACAACTTATTTTTATAGAAGTAAGTTAAGGAAAATGTATAAACTAAGTAGCAATTAGAAGAAAATATAATGGAAAGGATCATGACATTTGGGCTTAACTGATTTTTTTTTTCAATAACACTCAAAGTATAGAGAAGAGAAAGACTGGTAATTTAGATGTAATGAAAATTAGATACTATTGAGCATGAAAGGCTACAAAGAATTCTTGCAATGCAGCAAAAACAATTCAATTAGAAAATGAGAGAAGAGCCAGGCCTAGTGGCATAGCCCTGTAATTACTCACACTCGGGACACTGAGACTAGAAGATTGCAAATTCAAGGACTGCTGGGGCTATAGTGAATTCAAGCCCATACTGGAAAACTGAAGGTGAAAGAACTAAAATGAGGGCTGAGGTTACAGCTCAGTAGTAGAGTGCTTGCCTAGAATACATGAGGCCCTTGGTTCATTCCCCAATACTGAAAAAGAAAAAAAAGGAAGAGGAATAGCAAAGAACTTGAATAGATATTTTACCAAAGAAGATATATAAATAACTAATAAGCACAAAAATCTATGCAAACTGAATCTCCCTGGGGGATCATTTCACACTCATTAAGGGGACTATACAGGAAGCAAACAACAGAAAATAAAGGTTAGCAAGGATGTCCTAAACTTGGAACCTTTGTGTTTTGCAAGTATGAATGGAAAATGGTACATTGTACGGTGATTTCCCCAAAAACTTAAGCAATAGAATGCTGCCGATCTAGCAACTCCACCTCTGAATCTATACCCGAAAGAAGAGAAAATAGGGATCTGAAGAAAGTTTTTATACTCTTGTTCACTGCAGAATTATTCTGTAGCAGTATTTATTCACAATAGCCAAAAATGGTTGGAGCACTGCAAGTGTTCATAAATGCTGAGTGGATAAGTAATAGTCAATGGAAGTTAATCAGCCTTAAACAAGAAGAAAATACTGATACACTCTACAACATGGATCAGCCTAATACTGTGTCAAATAAGCCATTCACAAAATAACAAATACTGTATGGCTCCTACTCCATGATATTTCTAGAGAAGTTAAATTCGTAGAGACAGAAAGTAGATTGCCATCAATAAGGGTAGAAGGAAATGGGGAATTTGTGTTTAAAAGACATGGACTTTGAGCTGAGGAGTTTTAGATGAGAAAGTTCTGGAAATGCATGGTGGTAATAGTTATGCAAAATGTATGTTACTTAATGCTCTAGAACTATGCACTTAAAAATAGTTAAGATGGCACTTTATGTATATTTTTCCACAATAAAAAAAAAACTCACAGGGCCTCACCTTTATACAGAGAACTACAGGTAATGAGAAATGCTGAGAGTGGGAGAGATAGACTTCCCTAGGGAAGAGCACACCTATTGGTTGTTCAATACCAAATTGAAGATTGCAACTTTTCCTTCATCAAGCTACCGAAAGGCCTCTTTTTGTGATACCCATTTTGGTGGCATTATACAAACTGAGAATGCTATATTTGTGCCTTTAAGAACACACACACACACACACACACACACACACACACAGAGAGAGAGAGAGAGAGAGAGAGAGAGAGAGAGAGAGAGAGAGAGAGAGAGAGGACAACAGTTAATGAAAAAGAGACCACCAATTTAAAAGAGCAAAGAGGGTTATAAGGAAGAGTTTAAAGGAAGGGAAAATGATGTAATTATATTATAATCTCAAAAAATTTAAAAAGCTAAGAAACGCTAATGTAAGAATTTTCTGGAGTGTTACGCCTTTTTGTTTGTTTCATTATATTATCGTTCCTTAGTTTGGAAAAAATCTTACTCTTTTTCTTCCCCCCTTAGGATTTCCAAGATGAAGCAACACAAAATCAAATTCTGTTACAGTTAAGTATAATGACTTGTGGCTTGATTATATTATAGGGTATTTATTTTGTTACTGTTTGCACTGCTGAGTGCTTTTATAAGACTTAAATTAGATATTATAGAATGTTAGTGGGGTAAATATAGATTGTTTTATAAGTATTTAAGATAAATTTAATTTCATATGAAAACTTGAATTAGTAACTTTTTCTGTCTGCTAATCTTATTTAAACAGTGAATTTATAGCATAGTATAAAAGAAGGATTTGTACAGTTTTTGGAGTTATGAAACTTTATATTCCCCTAGTTCTAGAAAAACACTGGTTCTGAAAATACAGCTTGTAGACTCCCTGGTAGTTCCTGAGATTCTTTTAGGAAGCCTGGAAAAACTATTTTATTAACAATACTAACAAAAAAACCCAAAACAATACTAACATATTATTTGCCTCTTTCCATGGGGTTTACATTTGCACCAACAGTGCTTAGCAATAACAAGTAAAATGCTTAATGGCCTTCGAAGAAACCAAGGCAGCAACGCCAAACATTAGTAGTAGTCATCTTGTTTTTTTACTGCCATGTGTTAAATGTAAAAAGGAAATGATGCTAATTTTACTTAAAGAATGTGTTTGATGGATGTAGGTGTGAAAGGAGGGGGAGGGAGCTGGGGAGGCATCTATTCTGGGTACAGACATAGTGTGGCTGCTTTGAGGCAACCAACATTCTTTCCTACATCCCTCTTCCATTCTCCCTAATCCTCTTCTCTCCAGAGGCCATGGATTTGGTGTACATGAAATTTATATCAATGTGATGGTAGGAGTTTTATGGACAATGCTTGATTAAGACAGCAGTCCTGGACCAGTCAGAAGAACAGGCCCTGCCCCCAACTCTGGCAGACATCCAATGCTCAGGTGCAGGCCACACAAGTCAGATCAGAGACCCTCTGCTGCACCAAAGACCAGGCTAACCTCCAGAAGGACAGCCCTCAATTTGGACTGAGACTCCCTACTAGATCAGAGGTCATGCCAGCCACTAGGAATCCAGGCCACAAAGACCAGAAGACCAAAGAGGAAAGAGAAACCAAGGAACAAAACACCTATCCAACAAAGACAAACTCAGAATTCAGCACCTAGACCTATAATAATCCCAAATGCTGATGCCTAAACACCTGTGCAAGAATACAATCAACTACAGCCAGGGCAATATGGCAACACCAGACCCCAGCTATTCTGTAACGTCAAGACCTGAATATTCCATCACACCTGAAGCACAAGAAAACGACCTTAAAAACAACTTTATGAAGATGATAGAAATCCTTAAAGAGGGAATTAAAAAATATCCCTTAAAGTAATCAAGGAAAGCCAGGCGTTGGTGGCACACGCCTTTAATCCAAGCACTCGGGAGGCAGAGGCAAGTGGATCTCTGTGAGTTCGAGGCCAGCCTGGTCTCCAGAGCCAGTGCCAGGATAGGCTCCAAAGCTACACAGAGAAACCCTGTCTTGAAAAACAAAAACAAAAAAAGTAATCAAGGAAAAGACAAAAAATTGGAGGAAATCAATAAATTCCTTAAAGAAGGACAAGAAAGCCAAGAAAAATAAAACAAACAGGTGAAGGAAACTGTTCAAGACCCGAAAATCGCAATAGAGGCAACAAAGAAAACACAAACTGAGGGAATTCTGAAAATGGAAAAAATCTGTGTAAGTAGACAGGAACTATGGATGCAAGCATCACCAACAGAATACAAGAGATAGAAGAGAGAATCTCAGGCATTGAAGATACAATAGGACAAATTAATTCATAAGTCAAAGAAAATGTTGTTTAAAATATTCCTAATACAAAACATCCAAGAAATCTGTGGAAAGACCAGTGTAAAAACAATTCTTATAATTCATGTTGTACTTGAATAAGAAAACCTTATCTTCTTATGATAACAAACAAACAAAAGGAATGGAAGAAATGTCCTAGCTCAAAACAAAAACAAAACAAAACTCCAGAAAATATATTTAATAAAATAATAGAAGAAAAATTTCCTAACCTAAAAAAGGACATGCCTATAAAGGTACAAAAAGCTTTTAGAAAACCAAGTAGATTGGATCAGAAAAGTAAGTCCCTGCACCACATAATAATCAAAACACTAAACAAGAAGAACAAAGAGAGAATATTAAAAGCTGAAAGATATAAAGGCAGACCTGGTAGAATTACACCCAGTATCTCAATGGAGACTCTAAAAACCAGAAGAACTGGACAGATGTCTTGCAGACACTTTTATTTATGTGGTAGATTACATTGACAGATTTTCATATGTTGAACCATCTCTAAATCTCTGGGATGAAGCCTACTTGATCATGGTGGATGGTTTTTTGTTATTGTTGTTGTTGTTGTTGTTCTTTTGTTTCTTTTTGTTTTTTTTTATCTTGGATTCAGTTTGCCAGTATTTTTATTGAGCATTCTTGCATCAATGTTTATAAGAAATATTGGTCTGTAATCCTCTTTCTTAGTTGCATCTTTGTGTGGATTGGGTAACTATAGCCTTGTAAAAAGTTTGGCAATGTTCCTTCTGTTTCTATTGTATGGAACAACCTGAGGAATTTTGATATTAGCTATTCTTTGAAATTCTAGTAGAATTTTGCACTGAAACTGTCTCTGGGCTTTTTCTGGGGGAGGTGGGAAACTTGATGACTGCTTCTATTGGGGGGTTATAGGTCTATTTAAATTGTTTGGTCTTGATTTAATTTTTGTATGTAGTACCTATCCAGAAAATTGTCCATTTCTTTTAAATTTTCCAATTTTGTGGAGTACAGGTTCTTGAAGTATGACCTAATGATTTTCTGGATTTCCTTATTGTCTGCTATTATGTCCCCCTTTCATTTCTTACTTTGTCTTTTGTCAGATGTGGGGTTTGTGAATATCTTTTCCCATTCTGTGGGCTGCCGTTTTGTCTTGTTGACTGTGTCCTTTGCCTTACAGAAGCTTCTCAGTTTCAGGAGGTCCCTGTAGGGAGACACCCTAGCCCCGCCCAATAGTCCTGGGACAGGTACCAGGTGGACCCGGGACTCGCCCATAAGGGCGTGGTGAAGGAAAGCCGGGTGACATAAGGGAGCTTCTTAAGGGGCTGCACGTGGGGACCCTGGCCCCTTTTGTTCTGGCCGCGCTTGCTGGGTTCTATAACCTAGCTCTGGCCTGTGTTTTGCCTTGGTGTCTTCTTGAATAAAGAGACTTTAATCGATACAGGTCCCATTTATTAATTGTCGATCTCAGTGTCTGTGCTACTGGTGTTATGCTATACATATATACCAGTTCTCCTATACCAGTTCATTCAAGGGTACCTCCCACTTTCTCTTCTAAGAGGTTCAGATTGGCTGGATTTATGTTGAGGTCTTTGATCCATTTGGACATGTTTTGTGCGTGGTGATAGATAAAGGATCTATCTGAAATCTTCTACATGCCAGCATCCAGTTATGCCAACATCATTTGTTGAAGATGCTTTCTTTTTTCCATTGTATAGTTTTAGCTTCTTTGTCAAAGATCAGGTGTTCATAGGTGTGTGGGTTAATATCAGGGTCTTCAATTTGATTCCATTGGTCTATGTGTCTATTTTTGTGCCAATACCAAGCTGTTTTCATTACTAAAGGAGATCAACGGGATACAATTTAGAAAGGAAGAAGTCAAATTTTCACTATTTGCAGATGATATGATAGTCTATATAAGTGACCCAAAGAATTCTACCAGGGAACTCCTCCAGCTGCTAAACACCCTCACAAAGTGTCAGGATACAAGATTAACTTCAAAAAATCAGTAGCCCTACTATATATAGACAATAAATGTGCTGAGAAAGAAATCAGAGAAATATCACCCTGTACAGTAGACACAAACAACATATAATATCTTGGGGTAACTCTAACCAAACAGGTGAAAGACCTGTGTGTTAAGAACTTTGAGTCATTAAAAAAAGAAATTAAAGAAGATACCAGAAAATGGAAAGATTTTCCATGCTCTTGGATAGATAGGATCAACATAGTAAAAATGACAATCTTACCAAAAGCAATCTACAGATTCAATGCAATCCCTATCAAAATCTCAGCACAGTTCTTTACAGACCTTGAAAGGACAATTCTCAACTTTACATGGAAAAACAAAAGACCTAGGACAGCCAAAACAACTGTACAATAAACATTGTACATTCTTCTGCAACATTCTAGGACATTCTGGAGGCATCACCATCCCTGACTTTTTTTCTTTTGTATATGTTGAGACTTGCTTTGTTACTGAGTGTATGGTCAATTTTAGAGAAGGTTCCATAGGGTAAGGAGAAGAAGGTATATTTTTTTGCGTTTGGATGGAATGTTCTGTAGATGTCTGTTAAGTCATTTGAGTCATAACATCTGTTAGTTTTTTATTTTTATTAAGTTTCTCTCTGAGAGACCTGTCCAGTGGTGAGAGTGGGGTGTTGAAGTCTCTCACCATTAGTGTGTGGGGTTTGATGTGTGATTTAAGCTTTAGTAATGTTTCTTTTACAAATGTGGGTGCCCTTATATTTATGGCATCGATGTTTAGAATTGAGACTTCATCTTTCTAGATTTTCCTGTGATATTCTCTGTCTCTTTTGATTAATTTTAGCTTGAAGTCTATTTTATTAGATATTAGGATAGCTACATCAGCTTCTTTCTTAGGTCCATTTGATTGGAAAATCTTTTCCCAACTCTTTACTCTGAGGTAGTGCCTGTCTTTGAGATAGGGGTGTTTTACTTGTATGCAGCACAATGATGTGGGTTCTGTTTTCATATCCATTCTGTTAGCCTGTATCTTTTTATATGTGAATTGAGTCCATTGATATTAAGAGATATTAATGGCCAGTGATTGTTAATTCCTGTTATATTTGGTCTTGGTGGTGGTAGTTGTAGTGTCTTTCTTTTCTTTGGGTTTTGCTGGTGTGAAGATATCTGTTGCCTCTGTTTTCATGGGTGCAACTAACTTCCTTGGGTTGGAGTTGTCCTTCTAGTACTTTCTGTAGGGATGGATTTGTGGGTAGATATTGTCTTGTTTTGTCACAGAATATTTTGTTTTCTCTGTCTATGGTGATTGAAATCTTTGCTTGGTATAGTAGTCTGAGCTGGCATTCATGGTTTCTTAGTGTCTGCAGAATGTCTGTTCAGGACCTTCTGGCTTTCAATGTTTCCATTGAGAAGTCAGGTGTAATTCTGGGACACCATGAAAAGACTGAACTTAAGAATAATAGGAATAAAAAAAAGAATAATAGGAATAGAAAGAGAAGTCCAGTTCAAAGGCACAGAAAATATATTCAACAAAATCATAGAAGAAAACTCTCCCACATTTGGGTCCTCAAACTTATGCAACAAGTGTTTTAACTGCTGAGTGTCTTTCTGCCAAGCCCAACCACAGATCTTCTATTTCATTTTTTTTAATTTTAGATAATGTAGTTTTCATTTAAATATTCTAATACATTACTGAATTATTACTGTCATTTAAAACTTAACAAATACAGCATTTTTAAATTTCTATATTTAAATATAAATCTATATTAGCCACATAAACAAAAGTTCATTGGGATCATCAAGAGTGTAATAGTCCAGATATCCAAAATTTTAAGAACTATTATTGTAAAGTACCCATTTTATCCAAGTAGTAATATAATTTCATTTATAGAAATGAAAAAGAAAAGGCTAAGGAAGACTATACCGTATAACCTAGTGCTTAGAGAACCATTGTCAACATTTTGGAACATCTTATTGTGTGTGTGTGTGTGTGTGTGTGTGTGTGTGTGTGTGGTGTGCTTTTGTTTTTTAAAAAAAAGTACACAAAATTATTCGCCATCACTGGGCAGTGGTGGTGCTTGCCTTTAATCCCAGCACTTGGGAGGCAGAGGCAGGCGCAAGTCTGTGAGTTCAAGGCCAGTCTGGTCTATAGAGTGAGTTCCAGGACAGGCTCCAAAGCTACACAGAGAAACCCTGTCTCAAAAAAAAAAAAAAAAAAATGCCATCTTAATGTACTTTAACTGCTTTTAATTATGTAATATTTTATTGTATAACTATTATGATTTGTTGAATCATTCATTAGATTGGACATTTGTTTGTAGTCTTGCTTAACAAAGCTAGTTTTAATATTTATGGAGGCTTTCATGTATTCAGTGTCTTAACACTCTTAATACAATTCTCGTAATTAAAGAAGGAAGTTCTTTGGATTCAAACTGTGGTTTTGTTTTGTTTTCAATTAGTTTATTCTTCTCAAATTGAACATTCTTTTGTATTGGCCTCACAGAAACTATCATTTTGTTTGAGGCACTTAATCTACATTTTCAACATAACTTCTACTGACCACTTTTGGTTTGAACAATTAGGTTTGAACCACTTTTGGTTTGAACAATTGAAATTAGGATTTCAATAGTCTTGCTTAATACATTAAAAACTATTATTAAAACACCTGAAGTAAGAGGATTTTTTTATTTTAAATAGGTAAATGCCTTTATTTATGCAATAAATTACTCTGAAGAAATAAAATAGCTGGCTGATTGCTTTTTTCAATGAACTTTTAATACCCAAAAGTAGAGGATCAAAATTGCAGATTTGACAGAAACTTTATTTTGTTTTAATCCTTCATTTCAATAATTTCTGCTCCCCATCTTTACTTGCTGTGAAATATAAAAGCAAATAATCTGAGGAACTTCTCACATGACTCCTACTTACATCTAAACTGTATCGCCGAACAGTATATTTGAAGGTAGCCAAATCAATTTTTTTGACCTTGCCACTCTAATTTAGTAGGTAACTTTCAAACCTAAATGCAGTTTAGTTTTTATATCTCTGAATTTATCCATTATTTATCCATTAGCCTTTTTAATGTTAATTTTGGATTCACTTTAACAAATTGATAGTAAATTGTAAAAATAATAGAATGGTGTAACCAATTAATTTTTCCATTTAAAAGTCTGTTTTATTAATTAGTTAATTTATTTTTTAGAACTAGAAAAGAATTCCCAGCATTCTCTGTGTTATTTCCTCACCCTGAAGTTTTATGGAGCCACCAAAAGACTAGAGGTATGCTTCATGAGCAGCAATGCATAAGAGAGTCTTTAAGAGTAGAAGACCTCATTTGATACAGATTTATTTACAACAATGCTAGTGTATCATGCATTTTAAGTATGAAATTAAGTTGTTGCTGACCTTTAATTGTGATTAGACTGCCATTTGGAGAAACTGGGCATTGCAGCCAGTATCTATTGTTATAGATGTCTACTTTTCACTTCTAATTTTGAGGATTTATATTTGATAATAACTACTTTGTTCATGATCTTATTAAAATGTACATATGTCTTGCATATATCCATTTCATTATTTTTCCCATTTAATGTTGACGTATCTTGCCTAGTGACTTCCTCAGAGTGAATATTTTGCCTACTGTTTGACAGTGGAGTAAATATGCAGAGTAGTCAATGATACCTTGTGTTGTAAGAAATGGGTACAAGGACATGATAAAAAAAAACTGTTAAAGTTTATAAATGCATACTGTATATTACTCTTTTTGCTATTACCTACCCATACATGTACTTCTAGTACCTAATTTTTAATCCATGTTATTTTTCATTTTTTCTAATAAACATTTATTGAATGATGTATGAATGCTATGGATCTTTGAATTCTAAATACAGGATTACTGGTCTGTCTTGAAGCATGATGATAAGATATATCTGAAACATGGCATTGGTGAAAAGCAAAGACCTTTTCAAAATGTCCATAGACAGTGCTGAAGGAATAAAAGCTTAATCTGTTCTTGCTTCTGCTAGCCAAGCTGTGATAATTTAAATACAGGGGGAAACCCTATGATTTTGCATGGAAGTATATTTTCTAAAAAGCGCATAATAACACTCAAAAAATACTAAATGTATAAATGCTTGTCTCAAGACAAAAGTGACTATAATAAGACCCTTTAAAGTTCCTGTGACTTGAGAGTAAGGACCTGTTAATACATGTGTAATTTTTCTTTTTAATCTTTTACTGCTTCGGGATTGAATTCAAAGCTTTATACATACTAGCCAGGCATTGAACTACACTCCAGCCCCTTATATTTCTTTATTAAATATATATATTTATGTGTGTGTGTTTATAAAGTGTAGTTTATTTTTCTTTGTCACTATATGTAGAAAAAGAAGATGCCTGAGTAAGTCAGGTAGTCTTGAAGAAAATACAAATAATACCAAGAAAGGGAACAAGTACTTACATAGCACCATAGCACCAGTGGTAACACATAAAATTAATATAAGAAATGAAACCCAACCATGTCCCAAGGTAACAGACAACCAAAAGCCAATTAAGGAGACTGCCACAGTCTAGATTGCTCTACTATAGGAAGTAAAAACTTTAAATGAGTCTACTTTGTCATTATCAGATGCTAATAGAATGTGTAAATTTGCACTAATATTAACTGGTCAGTACATAATAACAAGAGAAGCTTTTCTAACCTGACCAAATAAAACTTAAAAGATTCTGAGACAAAGTTTTAAGTTACGAACAAATCCTTGTGAAGTTCAAACTGTTATAAGTCAAACTAGAAAATGGGTTATTCAGTTACTCCGTGGTGGAGCACGCCTTTAATCCCAGCACTCGAGAGGCAGAGGTAGGTGGATCTCTGTGAGTTCGAGGGCAGCCTGGTCTACAAAACTACACAGAGAAATCCTCTCTCGAAAGAAAAAAAAAATGGGTTATTCAGGTTTGAGTCCTCTTGAGAGTTCCCATGCCCCCAATAAGAGTCAGATAGGAACCCATATTCTGTGGCATAGTTGGTCAAAGACATTGTTTTTGTTTGATTAAATTTCTACAAGCCTAGGAGTATCAGAGTAAGTATTTAGAATTTATGATGAGAAAGCATAGAATTAGCTAGCTAGATTCAATGTAGGTGATCCTAACTTTTTGGCAGTGTTCAAAGCATCATGATCCAGAGCTAGTTAAAACATATTCTGTTCCCTGTATCAGACCTGCCCAGAATATTGGGTTTGGCCTCATTAATGTTGTAGAGGAGTGCTTCTCAACCCAGGGATCGAATGACTCATAGGAGTCACACATCAGATATTCTGCATTCAATTATTAATATTACAATTTGTAACAGTAGCTGTTTACAATTCTGGAACAGCAACAAAATAATTTTATGGCTGGTGGTCACCACAACATGAACTGTATTAAAGGGTTGCAGCATTATGAAGGCCGAGAACCACTGTTGCACAGCTCCATAGCCTATTTGATCATCCACAATGAACACTAAGTGTGGTATTTCTGTCTTCATGGCAGAATCAGTGACCAGGAAAAACTTGATAGCTTAATAATCAAGCTTATTTTCTCTAGGAGTGCTGTTCTGAGGAAGTTCAGTCTTCCTCTCCGAAAGCCTTTTGAGGTACTAATGGTTAGACTCCACCCCCAGACTATTCTAAGGACTACAAAAGCCATTTCTAGCATCTTGAGATGCAGGTGACCTAGCTCCATCCTACAGGCCCATGGTCAGGCCACAGAATCCCACCAATCCCAGGCCTCCATAGAAATCCTATACAAAGGCTTCTGCCTACTCTGCCCCCAAGAAACCCTATATAGAGCCTGCCTCCTTCTCAATTCTTTGCCATTTCTGAGCAGAGGTATTCACCCTCTTGGATCTTTTGCAATAAATCTCTTGTGTGAGGTTTGCTGTGTGGTGTGATTTTTATGCTATTCCTTGGATCCCGACTTCCAGGATACCAGGATAACACACTCTTTAGCCACAGTGTCTTGTGCCACTAGAAGGTGGGTGAAGGGTGGATTTTTTTTGGGGGGGGGATTGGCTGTGGATGCCTTTCAGTGCTACCTTCCTCCTCTTCCTCTTCCTCCTCATCTTCCTCCTCCTCCTTCAATTTAAATTAGAAACAAGCTTCTTTTACATGTCAATCCCAGTTCCCTCTCCCTCCCCTCCTCCCATGTTCCCCCATTCCAACCCCTTTCTGCCCCCCAGGGAGGACGGGGCCTTCCATGGGGATCTTCAAAGTCTGTCATATCATTTGGAGCAGGGCCTAGACCCTCCCCTGTGTGTCTAGTCTGAGAGAGTATCCCTCCATGTGGAGAAGGCTCCCAAAGTCCATTCATATACTAAGAATAAATACTGATCCACTACCAGAGGCCCCATAGATGGCCCAGACCTCCAAGCTGACATCCTTGTTCAGGGGGTCTGGAACAGTCCTATGCTGATTTCCCAGCTATCAGTCTGGGGTCCGTGAGCAACCTGTTGTTCAGGTCAGCTGTTTCTGTGGGTTTCTCCAGCCTGGTCTTGACCCCTTTGCTCATCACTCCTCCCTCTCTGCAACTGGATTCCAGAGTTCAACTCAGTGATTAATGCTACCTTCTTGACCTTCAAAGTCTTGGCTATGGTACTGGGAAAGACAAGGCTGCGTCCTTTATTCATTTTATTTTGTGCTCTCTTGGTAAAAAGGGTTCAAAATAAATAATACTTTAATATTAATAAGTTTCAGCAACAGAAATAGAAATAAACAAGAGTGAATTACACTAACATTGTTGCTTCAGGATTTGTTGACGATAATTGTTAAGTTTTGAAACCATTGTAGTTGGGTGTATTTTATCTTATATATTATAAGATGTTTCCTGTTGGGGCTCAGTAGCAAAGTGCTTGTTGTTTAAATATGGGGACAAGAGTTTGATCCCCAGAAACCCAGTAAAAAAGCTAAATGTGGGACTGAAGAGATGGGCAGTGGTTAACAGCACTTAATACTCTTCCAGAGTACCCAGGTACAATTCCCAACAATCACATCCATCTGTAACTCTAGTTACAGGGAGATCTGACACCTTTTCTGGCCTCTGCAGATTCTAGTCATGTACATTGTATACGACATACATACATGCATGCAAAACACCCATACACATGGAAAACAAACAAAGCTAGATTTGGCACCTGCTTTAATTCTATGTCGAGGAGGTAACAACCACCTCCCACATTATCTCACCCTCCCCCCCCAAAAAAAAACCCTGAGATTTTTGGATGGTGTGAAGTTTAGCAGGTGTGTTTATGCTTAGTTTCTTTCTTGTAAACCAGTATTGCCTGCAAGGATGCATTCTAAGATTCAGCAGATAATGACTTCCCCTTTTTATTAGCGTTAGAGATTTATCTGTAATCAAAAGATACCAAGAGAAAGTCTCAAACACTGTTTGAAGCACCAGTGAAGTTGTGAGTTCTACTCAATTATATCAGATTACTTGTGCTTGCTTGATAAAAATGAAAGTAGAAGACAGAAGGGATGTGGAGTAGTAGAAAAAAAAGCATTCTTTTCTTGATCTTTTCTCAACCAACTTGGTGTGAATTGCTTTGATCCAGCTGGTCTTAGAGGAGCTAGGCTGAGAACAGATAATAGAGTGAATAGAGTCTAGATGATTCCCCTGATTCCTCTTGGCCCTACCTGAGGTATTCACATCTAACTCCAGATAGCTTGAATTCATTTCAGCTCTATTACTTATCCAAAGGAGATGATAATCTCTTCTTGTGTAGTTATAAGTACTTAGAATAATGCAACAGAAATAGGTATGTTTCTAGCTAAACTAATTTCAAGTAGTTACAGTTCTCTTTGAATTCATATTATTTACAGCTCTAATTGGTGGTTAAACCTGAGAGAGCAGAGCCTAAAAATGAAGTAGACTTAAGTTTCATGTAATAGCCAGCTTTGTTCAGGGCATCAGGAAGTTTATACCCTGAGGGTTAAGAAAGGCCACATGAGACAAATTCTCATGAGTTCAAGCTGTACAATCATAAAGGTAAGCTGCATGTGGCAAAAAAATGTTTTCCCATAGAGGTGTATAAACAAATAATTGCCAGTTGTAAAGAGTAATCTGAAGTAAACTCACTCCTGTCTACTACAACTCAGAGGGGCACGAAAGCATATTCCAAGAACAATTCTGTTTTTTTTGTTTGTTTGTTTGTTTTTAAAGAAACTGAGGTCACAAGACTGTTGTCTTGTTTTCTCACAAGCATTCAGAATTCTTTTCACATTAATCCATTCTTGGACAGTGTTCTGATACCTCATATTTTTTTTCTTTTTCTCACTTTTAAATTTTTATTAAAAAATTTTAATTTAATTTTATTTTTTAAGAAATGAAAACCAAAAGTGTTTTATGTAACCCTGGTCAGTCTTGGACTCACTGTGTAGCCTAGGATGACTTTGAACTTCTGACCCCTCTCCTGAATACTGGAATATAGGCTGGCACTACCACTCTCAGTTTAAGGGGTAATAGGGATAGAACCCAGGACAAGCAGTCTACCAGTTGAGCTACATCCCAGCCCAAGAAATGAATAATTTTATTATTTTCTAAATAATAATAAGTTTATAGCAATAAGTGTATTTATAAATTGTTTGCTATGGTAAATTATTTAAGAAAGCTCAAGTTGTATTATTATAAAATGCTGATTGAAAAGGGTATAATAAATACATATTGCTCTCTTTTAGGTCCTGAGGTTGAAAATTGTGAAAATTTGCCATGCCCAGAAAAGGTTGGTTTATGTAGCCAACATTGGCTGTGTAGATTGTGGATTTAGATTTTTAAAAATCATGTTGATTGAAGTTTCAAGCTCATTTAGACTCTCCACTAGGCAGTTATCAGACTAAATCACTTCATTAGCTAGAAACCTATTCTTTTAAAAATACTTTTGAAATTATAATTATTTCCCCTTCCTTTTTGTCCCTCCAACCTCTCCCATGCACTCCATTTTTTTCTCAAATTCATGGCCTTTTTCTTTTTTTACAATACATACATACATACATACATACATACATACATACATACATACATACATACATGCCTATAATCTCAACACTCTTTTGAAGTTCAAAGTTCTAAGTCATTTGTGTGTATGTATGTGTTCCTGTATGCATGTTCCTAAATGTATAAATGTAGCTTGCTCAGTTTATATAATGTATCTGACCTCAGAAATAACCATCCTGGACAAGACAACTTCTTTCACTCTCAGCATTCCCCAGTTGTCTGTAGTTCCTTGTTTAGGATTGAGACCCCACAAACTATCCACCTTCTATGTTAACATGTTCAGTGGTGTCATCATTGTTCAGATCTTTTTGATGAAAATTCTGTGACATTTCTAGGAGACACAGTCTCACAGAAAACTTCCTGTTTCTCTGGGTTTTATAATCTTTCTGCCCTCTCTTCTTCAATGATCCATGAGCCTTAAGTGCAGGATTTGTCTTATAGATCTGTAGGTTGGGACTGGGAACATACAATCTCTGTTCACTGCAATTTGACCAGTTGTGTTTTTCTGTAACTTTCTCCTGTTGCAAAGAGAGATTTCTTTGATGAGGGATGAGAATTACATGTATAAATGTAAATATTTAGAATGTAGTTAGGAATTACACTGTTTTTAGAAAAGTGGCTGTTGTAGGTTCTCATCTAAGATCCATGACCTCACTAGCCCTGGATAGTTGGCTAGGTTTCTAGCACCATGCATGTCTTAAGTCCAGTTAGAGACTGTTGGTTACTGCCAGGGTATCTGTGCCACTACTGCACCCTTAGGATTACTGTGCCATGCTGGTCATTGTTATGGTTCATAGGTGTCATAGCTGGGTAGGACTGTTGGTTCCTTCCCTGCTTTGTAATTTTCCATGATGCCTTTTGGTACCATGAAAGGAAGTCCTCAGGGAGGAAAAACATTGTCTAAAAATCTGTTCATGTATTTATTCTTCCTTATCTTTAATAATTTTAGTAATTTTCTGATCTGTGTTCCCTACCCACTGCTATAAGACTTATTTTTTGTTTGGAGAAGTGTACAACTTCTTGTTACATATGCCTAGGTGATGGAGCACTTTCCTTTTTGTTGTTTTTAATGTCAACCTCATTTCTTTAATATTTCAAGCTTGCTGTCTCATCATCCTGTTGCTAATGTTTACCAAGGGCTGCTTTGTCTTTGCTTTCTTCTTGCTGCTGTGAACTGGCTCTGCCTACAATGAACTCCCACTCTCTAAGATATCATGTAGTTATGGGCCTTCCTAGGCCCACCCTATGGTAACTGATTATATCATTTCAGCTGTACCATCTGTATATCCAGTTACCAAGCTTTTCTGCTGAAGTTAGGAACCAGAAGGCAGGGAAGTGGTCATAAAATTTGGATTTGATATGACTTCTAAGGTAACTGTTGTTTACATCTATAATGTATGGGCATATGTTTTAAAGAGTTGCTGTGAGGACAAGGAGCAATGATGCCTTCTGCCTGGCACCTAGTTGTGTCTGAATAAATGCTGTTGTCCTTTTCCTTCTTCATAAGTCATTTATTTATGATTCAACTCCTTCCTTGTCTTTGGATCTGTGTCAGGTGACAGGTAATATTGATCAAAGTAATTGCTTCTTCTCTGATACTTACTTTTCACTGACTATATCAATATTTCCTAACATCTGGAAAAATTTTATATAATTTTATATAATACCATTGGAGAACATTGTGTCAGATATTTATGTATTTAGAAAAAATGTAGGAAAGTAGCTTGTTTAATTTTGTCACATCAAAACATTTTCAGCAAAATCAGTACTCTCTATTGCCTCCCCTTCTCTGAGGGTTAGTGACTCTTGCATATTAGATTTTGTGGGGTTGTTATTTGGTTCATCTTCATGTCTTGAATTTTATAAACATAAAAGGATTTAAATAGTAGGGAACCCTTGAGATGTGACCCAAATAATAAGATACAGTTCTTTGATTTCTTCTAAATTTTCTTACAAGAAGATAATAGTTAGCTTTACAGATAAAGGCATCTTCTTAGATCTGTATGATATAGACAAAGGATAAATGGTGGTGGACAGAATATGTTAATTTTTACTTCCTTTATTCAATTTAGAACAAATTATTAGCAGGCTAAGGAGACAATAATGCATCCTTCCAGAGAGGTAGTGAACTTGTGGGCAGCCAAAGTGTTTAAAAACTATAAATTTCAATAGCTATAAAGTACATTATTTTCCTGAGTAGCACAGCAGCTGATCTGGATAGCAGCTTTGAAAGGGATTCTAGTATCTGGGCACTGGAAACTTTGTAAGAACAAACACAACCTGCTAGGGTATTGCCCTTGAAAATGACGTGCTGGGAAAGTTGTTTTATGTTTTTCTGTTTAAAACAACAAAAATCTAAAGTTATTAGAGTCAGGCCTCATAAAATTTCATAGAATTGTTCCTTCATTTCTCCTATTTCCCCTTCTAATTTCTTGTCCTTTTTATTTTATATTTGCATATTAATTCAGAAGGTGAGTTGATAACAATTTTATAATTTTTATAATAGAACTATTTGCAAAGAAAGAATTTGTATCATTGCTTAAACTGTGACGTATTGAGGTCCTTTGTTAGTTTAACTAACCAGGGCATCTATCTCTTTTGTTGGAACAGATAATTAAAGCTTAGATGAAGAGATAATTTGTCATCTGTGATCCAGCCAGTGTCACTCTTGGTCCATTTAACCACTCCTGGTTAAATGTGTAACCATGTATTCGGGCATTATTGATTTCATATAGGAAAGTAATAAAGAATATTCTTTTTATTTATGGATGAAGTAGACAGTTGGTAAAAATAAATTACCAACAAAATGAATTATAAAGCTGATTTTTAATTTTAAATGTTGCTTTGTGTTTTCTGTAATACACAGGAACTAAGTGAAAACACAGATTCCCCTGAAATTAGTCTTCTCTCAGGTACTTCACTTGTGGCATCTGATTTGGTTATACTAAAGGAGAAATCATTAGCTGAGCCAGTGAAGACCTTAGCTGTACCAAATACATTTTCTGAGACTGGAACCAAAGATGAAGAAAGCTCTCTTGAAACATTTGTGTCTTCTTTAGAAAGGTTACTAGAATCACCAGAAGGAACCCAAGAAGAAACACTGCTTGAAATAGTGAATAACTTAAATCCTCAAGAGTTAATGAACCCATTGAGCGACTCCTTGAGTTCTGTATCAGTCCCTTTGAATGCTTTGCCAGCATGTTATAGAGATGTACTAGAAAACATGAAGGACAATGACGCATTGCCTGCTGAGTTGCTGGCAGCCATCAACACATTACCAGGTGGTGATGTAGGACCTGGACCTGTAGGACCCATCTGTCAAGGACAAGAGAAAAGCAGCAGTGTTAGTGATGGAAATGGATGTTTAGAAGTACAGCCTACCATGTCTCAGATAGACGAAGACTGCACACAAATAACACAGGTGAATTAAGTCTCTTTCCTACCCTACCATTTAAACAGTTGAGGCTATCCAGGTTGTAGAACCACCATTTGTCAGTAAGACAAGTGCATGTACACAGTATATCTGAGTGTAACTTTTCTAGTGACTTATAACAATTTTCATTGTGTTAAGTTCAAATTATCTCACCAAATACATCTGGAAGATACTTTGTAACTTTCACATATAGAATGCTCCTTTTAGAAGTACTGGGTAGAGTTTACAATGGATTGAGTTAAAGGCATATCAATAGTTTTTTAGTATATAGGAAAGAATTTCTTACCAGAAATTTCTCCATTATTTAGAATATTACTATATTAACCTGAGTTCAGGGTAGATACAGAGCACTGTAGTTGGACACAGAGTAATTTGGCTACTAAAAGTGTGGTGAGGGTATTAAGCCCTCTTTCAACCCTATTTGCCTTTAGTATATAAGTAAAGTGCCAGACATAACTTGTAGTTTTAGAATTCCCTCAACATTATGCCCAGAGGCCCTACAGATGGATAATGGGAGCCAAGTTCCCTTTTCATGTTGAGAGTTTGTAGTCTCATTATTATAAAATCAAAGGCAAGTGTGGTGGTACATAGTCGCAATACCAGCACTGGAGAGGCTGAGGCAGCAGGTCCAGCTGCTGATGAGTTCACGGCTAGCATGTGACCATAGCAACACCCTGTCTCAGGTCAACAAAAACCAAAACAACATACCAGACATTACAAGATTATATAACATTATGGTAACAAAAGTCCCCCAAAGATCCACTCTCCGAACATTGTTAACAGTTTAGCTTCAATTACGTCTATTCTGTATAAATTTATTTTATTCAAATGAGACTGTATAATACAGGATGCTTTGCAGCTTATTCTTTTAATATAATACATGTTGCTTATCTTTTTAGTGTCAAGAAATTTAGCACTTTTAAAGTAAACAGGTTACGTTACTAAATGATATATAAATGCATTATATATATAACATATATTTAAATATATATATATTTAAACATTATATATAGTTCAATCAATTCATAATAGTGGAAACTTAGTTTCCCTTTTTATTTCTTCTTAGCTATTAACAAAATAGTCCATGTATATTTCCAGGAAGATTTAGAGAAAACATGAGTTTATGTTACAGCATACAAACCTGGTATAATACTGATGTAGTCTGGCTGGCAACTTTCAGATAGACATTATAGGATTAAGAAAATAAAACAGACCAGACACCTTTAATCCCAGCACTCTGGAGGCAGAGGCAGGTGGATCTTTGTGAATCTGGCCTGGTCTTCAGAGTGAGTTCCAGGAAAGCCAAGGCTACACAGAAGAGACCCTGTCAAAAAAAAAAAAAAAAAAAAAAGGAAAAAGACACATTAATCATGGAGTTTTAAAGATGATTAAACATTTCAGTTTTCTAATATAAGAAGAAGAACTATGAGTAAAACATAAAAAATATAATACTGGTAAAGTAAGCACAAATTTAGTAAGTCTTCATGTTTAAGGAAAGAAACACTTTAAACAGTAGAAAGGAAATTCACTTAGAATGAATCAAGTTCAATACCCTTACTCAGCTGTGATTAAATTATCAAAAACAAAAAATCAATATTCTATTTTGAGAAGCTTTGTATATATAAATGAGCTTAAGAAGTTTTAGCTGGTACATGTAAAATGTAAATGTCTTCATAGAAGTTAGATCTATAGTAGATTCTCAAGGAGAAATGAGAAGAATTTATGACAGACTCTTGACCTTTGAAAGTATAGAAGTTATGTACCATCTTGTTCTCTAACTGCCATTATTTCTGTCAGTAGAGTGCTTGGCTGCATAGACCATCATTCTACTGTTGACTGCTCTTTGTCATGCTCTTATGTGGGTGTCTTATTCTAAACAACTTATTTCCTGCCAAATTAATGCACCAAAAGTGATCTTATAATTTCTTGTGAATAGTAAAGTTGAATATTGATGAAAATAATTTTAAAGTCTCTCCTTTTTTTTTTAACCAGGTTTCTCTATAAAGTCCAGGCTGGCCTCAAACTCACAATTCTCCTGCCTCAGCCTTCCAAGGGCTGGGATTATAGATATGTGTCATCAAGATTAGCTGTTTATGTTTTTCATAAGCTTAAAATCTATGTTGTTTTTGTATTTTTTAATTTTTTAAATAAATTTTATTTAAATTAGAAACAATCTTATTTTACATATCAATCCCAGTTCCCTCTCCCTGTCATCCTCCCATGCCCCCCACCAACCCCCCCATCCCATCACCCATACACTTCCCAGGGAGGGTGAGGCCTTCCATGTGGGATCATCAAAAACCTGTCAAGTCATTTGCAGCATGGCCTAGGCCTTCCCTTGTGTATCTAGGCTAAGAGAGTATCCCTCCATGGGAAATGGGCTCCCGAAGTCCATTCGTGCACTGGGGGTATATCCTGGTTCCACTGCCAGAGGCCCCATAGACTGCCCAGTGCTCCTAGCTGACACCCATGTTCAGGGGGCCTGATTTGGTCTTATGTTAGTTCCTATGTTGTTCTTTTAAAAATAAAGTTATAGATTTTTTCATCATGTTAATACATGCTTATGAATTGGTACACTTTCATCTTAAAGACATTTAGTTTTATCAGAGAAGATAAATTTAACTTTTTGTTTTAATGTTGTAATAATTTATGCATATATGTATTTCTTTATAGACTATAGAAGACCCAAAACCATTTAGGTTTCAAATAATGACTCATGAAAATGACACATCTTATGAGCAACTAAACAATCAGGGAAATTCAGAACCTATGGAAAATACCTCTGTCCAGGAAACACCACATGTACTAAGAAGATCATCTAGACTAAGACTGAAAAAACTGAAAGAAAGCAGAGCTGTGGCACATACAGATATTATGTTGAAGATACCAGAAAAGATTTTATCAAAACCACTTAGTTATGAGGATCAAACAAATAGCATATTTGCCACTGAGAATTTCAGGTATGCTATTAAATTGTATCTTTCTCACCATATATACTGCAAATCTAACTGGGTACTGGAAGATGTTTAGAAGCAGTGTCAACTTACCCCTAAGTAAAAAGCATTGTTATGTTGCTGTTTTTAATTTTGCGTTTTTTTGATCAGTGCCCCACTACATAGCAGGTTCTCTTTACCCATCGCTCCTCTGCAGAGAATCTGCCTCCTTTCCCATATAAGGAGAATAGAATGGATAGTGACATGCCATCTTGGGGAGTGAAGGGCAGGAGCCTCAGAGTCCTCACGTTTGTAGGTAACTACACCTAAATTAACTAAAAGACTGGCATGGGCTTGGCTCTCATGGGGTTATCTATAGCTCACTTAGGCCCCGTCCCCTGTTTAAGTTGCTTTGTCAGTTGAGAATAACTCAGTAACTATCTTTGGGTTTTCAATATTTTGTCAAAATTTTATGTAATTCTCCATGAATCTTTTAAAAATTGTGATTATTTAATAAGTCTATTTTTCAAAAGAATGCAGGATTCTCTTTTAATGACTGACAGTAAACAGAAGAATATTCATTCATCTAGATTCAACAGTGAACAGATACAGAAAAATGAACAACTTAAAATAAAAAATGGTGAGACATATTTTGAATATTTCTTCATTTCTTTTGGTATCTTATAGAAACAGAACTGAAGTAGAACAATTTATACTATGATCTCAATTTTATTGATGAGTTAATAATTCCAGTGAGGATAAGTAAGACTATTCCCATTAACACACACAGCTTATTAATAGCATAAGTGGGATTTGAACTTAAATGACTGCCAGGCTACTGTTATTTTCTATACTTTTCACTAGAGAGAGCAGCTAGAGAATACTTTCACACTTGACTGTATGGATAGCACAGCAAAAGACTGACAGTACATACTGAAATCAGGAGTAGAGCAAAGGAGAGGGCAAATTACTAATGAACAAGTTAATGACAATTTCTATATAAGTCATAAGATTGAATTAAAAAGTTCTATTACAATAAATAAAATAGAAAAATTGGTTAAAAGTGATAGTGGACTTGACAAAATTGAAATATGGGCTACAGATTGTATCTGAGTTTTCTGAATTTGAAAATAATATTCTTGATTGTATAAGAGAATGTTTATATTCTTAGGAAAAACATGTTAAGTATTAGTTATAAAAGGTATGGTATATAAAAGTTACTCATTGTCATCCCATTTATCTGTCTATGCACAGAAGATAGATAACAGATAGGATAGATGAAAATCATTTAAAGTTGTGACAACATGTTAACATTGACTTCTTTGCTTATTTTTCTTTTCTACTCAGATCAAACTCAGGGCTTCACACATGCTAGGCAAGCACTCCACCACTTGACTATATCCTAGGACCCTTTATTCTCTTTATACACTTTTTCTGGGAGCCTGAAATTATTTCAAAATAAAATATAGAGAAATTTAACAAATGAAAAAAACAAAAACTAATATTTCATATATTAACTAGATAAACAGTGTAAGAGAAAATTCTGTATAATTATAATAATTATAGTGCTGTAAAAAATAAGGAAAATGCTCTTATGACAACAAAACCTATGTCATACCCATAAGAAGAGAGTTTAAAATTTCTTCTGAGGGATAAAAAGGAGACTTAAACATTTGGAAACAAGAAAATAGTTCTCAATTAGATTTAGAACTTAAGAAACCTTCTCTCTGTTATTTCATAAGTGCATGGAATCTCAATCAAAAGGAGGTTTGGGAACTGGGGAGATAGCTCAGACAGTAAGGTGCTTGCCAAACAAACACAAGAACCTGACTTTAATAGCCAGCACTGTGATGGTGTGAATAAGAATGGGCCTCATAGGTGCCTATATTTGAATGTTTACTCACCAGGGAGTAGAACTGTTTGAAAGGACTAGAAGGCTTAGAAATGTGATCTTGTTGCAATTGGTATAGCCTTGTTGTGTCAATGGGGGTGGGCTTTGAGGTTTAAAATGCCCATGCTGGGTACAGTTCTCCCACCCCTACCTGAGGATCAGGATGTAGCTCTCAGCTACTGTTCTAGTGTCATGTATGTTGCCTTGCTCCCAACATGATAAAAATGGACTAAACTCTGCTTACTGTCTTGTTCCATGGGGCTTGTTCAGCCTATTGTCTTAAGCAATCAGGTCCACCACCCAGGGGTAGGACCACCAAATAGTGAGCTAGACCCTCCCACATTAGTCAAGAAAATGTCCCATAGACTTGCTTACAGGGTAATCTGGTGGGGGCATTTTCTCAATTGAGATTCCCTCTTCCCAAATGACTCTAGCTCTTGTCAAGTTGATAAAAAAAAAAAAAAGTTAAATAACAAGGATATCCCCTAATACCACTAAACAAAATTATCTACGTCTACTGGATATTGTGAAGTTCTAGCTAATTATTATTTAAAAAACAACAATCAATTATTAGAAGGAAGAGTCTATTTAGTCACAAACACAGTCATGTATGGCAACAATTTGATGGGATCTATGATAAAAGCTACTTTACCTCTGGAACTGTAAGCCAAACTAAACTACTCTTTCTTAAGTTGCTTTAGGTTATGGTATTTTATCAGCAACAGGAAAGCAACCAATAGAGCTACTTTAATTTAGTTTAGCAAAGTTTAAGGACACAAAATATATAAATATTCTAGTATATTAAAGCAATAAAGTGAAATTCGAAAACTACCATTATAATAGCAAAATATGTATTTAGGAATAAATTTTATAAAAATTGTCAGACAGATTGCTAAAGTCTACAAAAAACCCTTAGAGAAATCAAAGAAAATCTAATGGAGAGAAATGGACTATCATTAAAGTGTTATTTCTCAAATTTATGGTTTGTATATAAACCTAATCAAAACCCAAAACCCATGCAGAGACTGTTTTGTCTTTTCTTTCCCCCACCCCTCTGTGTGCTTCATCATTATCAAGTTTATAGATAGGGGAGCTTGGCTAGATTAGAATTGGAAAAAAACTCCTTCTTCAGCCTTCCTTCCTGCTGGATTACAGGACTCTGTCCATGTCTGCTTCACCATTATCAAATTCTTATGTGAGGGTTTTCACTACATCAAAATTGGAAAAGCTATCATCAAAACTATCTTGAAATTCAGTAAATCCATTGAGTATCACCCCTGAGAACTGGATGGATTTGGAGAATACAGGTTAGAGGTTAGTTTTAGTATTTTAAGAGGCACAGTTGAGAATTAGTACTTGGGTTGTGTCTTCTGGAAATTGCTTTAATTTTATTGATCATGACTTGGCAAATCAAAACTATGACAAAAATGGAGATCATTATTCATTTTAAATTTGAGTCAGTTTTTATTAAAGAGAAAATTTAACACAGCTGGAGAGAATGCTCAGCAGTTAAGAGCACTGGCTGCTCTTCCAGAGGATGCAGGTTCAATTCCCAGGGCCCATAGGACAGCTTTCAGTTGTCTGTAACTCCAGTCTCAGGAGATCCAGTTCCCTTTTCTGGCCTCTGTAGGCATCACATACACAAGAGCACAGACATACATGCTGGGGTATAAAATACCCACATTTAAAAAATTTGAAAATCTAGCAGTTCCAAAATTTGGCTATTTCTGGTCTTGTTAGTTTTTGTTTGTTACGTGTGTGTGTGTGTGTGTGTGTGTGTGTGTGTTTTATCTTCCACTTGTGTCATACAGATAGTCTCATAGCTTTATAAGATGTTGTAGAATAACAAAGTTTCATAATGTATCACTTTTGCAGATTTGTAAAGATAATAAGCTTATAGAGAAAAGGGGTTTTTTGTTTTGTTTTGTTTTTTGTTTTTTGTTTTTTGTTTTGGCTAGTAGATTTGGAGGATCTAGGCCATGGATGATTAGACCTGTGATGAGGTAGTACATCATGGCAGGAGTACCTGTTGGAAGAATCTGCTTAAGTAAAAGGGGGGGCTCTGGTGTCCTTTTTGACCCCCCCCCTCCAGTAACCTTACTACCTCTTAATAGACCCAACCTCTTAAAAGCTCTACCATTTCCTAATAACTAAGGAACTAAGCCTTTACCTCATAGACATACCGGGACATGCAGATAGATAATATAATGGATAGTAAATATTCTAGATTTAAATAATTCTTTGCTCGGGATTTAAAAAAATCTGTCATCTTTTATAAGCATTTTCATAAGTTTTTATGTTTATATATATTATATATCATGAGTTTTAGTTTGCTACAAATATTTTTTTTTTACTGATACAGAAAGGCATTTTTAATGAATTGAATGAATGACTCAGGACCTTTACTTCCCTGACATATGCAGGTTGACTTTAACATTCCTACTGGAAATTCTGCTTTCTAGTTTTTCCCAGATCATTAGACTGCAATAGTCCCTTATCACTGTTGGCATTGTCAAGGATTATTTACTACAAATATTTTTAAACTAACATATCTATATTTTTTGTATTTAGAAAACATTACAATGAGGCTAATGCATAAAATACTCTTTAATAATATAATATACCCACTTTTTTTTTTTTTTTGGTTTTTTGAGACAGGGTTTCTCTGTGTAGCTTTGGAGCCTATCCTGGCACTCACTCTGGAGACCAGGCTGGCCTCAAACTCACAGAGATCCACCTGCCTCTGCCTCCCGAGTGCTGGGATTAAAGGCATGAGCCACCAATGCCTGGCTAATATACCCACTTCTAATATGACTGATTTATCATAGTCTGTCCCCCGCCCTCTTTTGAGTCAGGATTTCTCTGTGTAGCCTAGCTTTCCTAGATCTTGCTCTGTAGACCAGACTAGCCTCTAACTCACAGAGATCCACCTGCCTCTCCCTCCTGGGTGCTGGGATTAAAGGCACTGCACATCACCTACCTGACATCTTCAATGAGAAATGAAATGTTCTTTCACCATCCATCTAATTCTCTTCCTTGGGAATAATGGAAAGCCAGAAAATTACCGGAGAGGATACTGCCTTCGGCTCACTTTGTCATACTCTCCACCTGGGTAATTCAACTAAGACTACAAATGGCTCCCTAGACAACTGTGGGTGGTAACCCTGACTTACCAGCATAACTTGGCTGATTGACATTTCCACCATTTTTTATGCAACAGCAAACCAGATAAACATCATTATGGAGAGCAGTTTATACAGTAAATTCTCTCCAAAAACATTTCTCTGGTTTATACTACAAAGACATATTTTATTCACCTTCCTTTTTCCTAAAATGAGAGAAAGAACAGAAGGAAGGATGTTTCCTGGTGCTACCTTTGCAAGACTGTAAATATGAGACTTAACCTTGAATGGTGGTAAGATGGGATCAAAACTAGAAGGAATTAATATTAACTAGATTGCAAGGGAAAATTGATAGTAATGGCAGGGATAACAGAAGGAGTAATGACCAGGAACATAGGCAGAATAGAATATGAGGTAGAAGGTAGGTAAGTTGCTCAGAAAGGAAACAGTCTTTCCCTGTGACTGACTCTGAGTACTTCCTTCTGAAGAGAATCTTACATTTTTCTGGATTGGACTGACTGTATAGATACTTGTGTATTAGTCCACTGAACAGCAGTGGACCAGTCTTGGTGGGTGCTTTGGAGTAGCTATACTTTTCCTTTTGTTTCTAGATTGTCTTTTATTAGACAGTGCATAAATGATGGCATAGTACAACCCATGGTTGAGCAGGTGCTCCTCCAGTACTTAGATTAGTAAGGCCTGGGTTTGCAGTGTAATCATAGTTTAAAATAATTTTAAAAATCATTTTAACTAGATTTATTGACTGATTTAGTGTGCATGTATGCATGAGTGTGGGTGTGCGTGCATACTTATAGCAACACATGTGTGGACGTGAGAGGAAAATTTGTGGAAGTCGGTTTTTTCTACCATGTGGGATCCCAGGATTGAACTCAGGCCATCAAGGTTAACAGAAAGCACCTTTACCTCCTGAACCATCTCTCTAGCCCTTAAATCTCACATTCAGATTAATAAGCAAGATCCTATAAACCTTACGCATCTGTTTGCAAGAGCATTTACTTCTTTTTTAAAAAAAAATAAATTAATTAATTTTCCCAGCCTTATCAGACTTTCCACTTCTCCCAGTCCCTCCTTCCTCCTCTCCCCACCATCCACTCCTTTTCCTTTCTCTTCAGGAAAGGGCAGGCCTCCCATGTATATCATCCAGCTTTGGCATATCAAGTTGCAGTAAGGGTCTCTTCCTCTGTTTCCATCAGTTTCTGGGTGAAGCCTCTCTGATGACAGTTGGGCTGGGCACCAATCTATGAGTATAGTAGAATATTATTAGAGATTTCAATGACTTTTTTTTGCCAGCCGTATTTGGTTCTATCCTGGGTCTCTGGACTGTCCAGCCTCTGGGTCCTGGCCCTCACATTTACTCTCTTGATTTTAAAGTATTTGTAGTCCTTTCTTCAGTACTTACTGTTTCTTGTGTTCAAGAGTAGCTCTACCTGCAGCCAAATTTGACTTTAACTTAATGTATTTTTTCATTGCCCCTTTTCCTTGTGACAGTGTTAACATCCTTTGTGATTGTTTCTTTGGTATCTCCAGCCAATTTTCTCACTGCCCCAGAGAATTCCATGACCTTCATGAATTAATTATTCTTATTTTATTTTCCAGGCTTCTCCGACTCTTATTATTTTCCTTTCTGTTTGTATCCTTCCTCTGTTTTTATTCCTTGCTATCTTACTCCTCAGAGTCACAGTGAACAGTGTTTTCACAAGGTAGTCTGCAGGCCATTTTCATCAGAAATTAACATTTGTTTAAAAATACAAATACTCTCTGTCTCTCTCAGCCTCTGTGTGTGCGTGTGTGTCTCTGTGTCTCTGTGTCTCTGTGTCTCTGTCTCTCTCTCTCTCTCTCTCTCTCTCTCTCTCTCTCTCTCTCTCTCTCTCTCTCTCTCTCTCTCTGTGTGTGTGTGTGTGTGTGTAACACACAGACATCTGAACATCTGTAGTCTAGTAAGTTGACCAGGTTATTTTTACCTTAAAAACAAGAGCTATTATCACAACACAATGGAAGTCAGTGTAGGATACCTTAAAATGCACCCACTGTGTGCTTAGGAAAGTATATGTCGTAGGCAATGTTTGATTGTTGGTACTTCTGGGTGTGGCTGTCACAGCAGCATAGGAAAGGTGCAGGTCACTTTTTGAGGATGTTATAAAGGTTGATCTGTTCTTGTTGGGCCACTATTTTAGTCTGGGTGGGTACATTGTTCCTGGCAGCAAGGATGAAGTGTTTGTTGTTGTTAGTGCATTGCTTGGAACCTGAATTGCAGCTGTAGACCTAGGCGGGATACCTGTCTGGATTTGCTTTTTAAGTCAATTTATATTTTAAGTTGTATGCTTGTCTCGGTATGCCTGTCTGCCTCTCCCTGGTGTTCAAACAGAGCACAGGGACCTTTTTAGTACCTTGGTACATCAAGCTGTTTAGCTGCTTTTTGGAACTGCTTTGTAAGACTGCTGATTGTCAGAGCATCAAATGGCACAGGAAAGGTCCAGTTGAGGAAGGCCCAACTTGGGATTAGTTCTTTTCTGATACAACACCATAGTACAGATTTCTTGAAAGTCCTCAAACTGGACTCAAGTCTGCAAAGACTAGAGGCTTCTCCAACAGCAAATATTTAAGGTACTTGTATTACTAACGGGGTCACCTCCTATTTATTCCTTGTTATGTGAAGTCCTTCATTGGTTCATGGTTATAAATTGTGCCAAGCAACTCTTCAGTAGCTGCCTTATGATATTAGCTTTTCTAGTTCTCTGAAGTGGAAAACGAAGCTATTGATTTTGTCTTTTCCACTAATATAAGTATTTAGAGCTTTAAAATTCCCTCCAAGTACCACTTTGTTGCATCATACTTATTTTCATATATTTTATTTTGGTATTACTCAGTTTGAAATATTTGAAATTGTATGATTTTTATTCTATCTAGTGGTTTTTTTTAGAAGTTGTTTAAATTTTAAATATTTGGAGATTCTCTTGTTATGTGTTGTGTAGTGTGCATGTGGAGATCAGTGCTTCTCTACTTCCACCTCCATATGGGTTCCAGGGATTGCACTTGGGTACCAGGCTTGTATGACAAGAGCCTTTTCCTTCTGATCCATCTTGCAATCTTGATATTCTTTCTAGTACTGATTTCATTTGACTATAAAAACCATAATCAAATAATTTTGATTCATTGAAAGTTGTTTTTGCTTTGTATATAATCTCTCGGTGAATATCAAATATACACATGGATTCTTATTCTTTAGTTGTTGGATGTAATATCTAAGCTAGTTTGATGAAGGTGTTGATAATGTAGTTCAGGTTATTTATGTCTTTAATGAATTTTTGTCTTCTGATATATTATTTCCTTAGAGAGTTGTTAATTTCTTTACAACTATGCTTTAATTATGGAAAATTTTGCTCCTTATATCTTAAAGTCCTTTTAATAAATTATACATGCAGTTTTGATTTTTAACATCTCTTTTATTATTATGTGTACTTTTCATTACTGATAATATGCTTTGTCTTGAAATCTACTACTATAATATCCTAATCATTTGCTTATAGATTATTTGTTATACATTTTCCCATCCTTTTAATCTTTTAATTTTTTATTTAAAATATACTTGTCATAGATGATATATACTGTTTAAAAATTCATACTGCCATTCTCTGCCTTTCAATTGAAATTTACAGTAATTGGTCAGTTTCTATTTAAATATAAAAGATTGGGTTTAGCATAAACTGGATTTTTGGAGCCCATTTCCTATGGAGAGATAGCTTCCTCGACCTAGACACAGGGGAGGGCCTTGGTCCTGCCTCGAGTGGTGATGGGATAGACTTCTTTGACTCCCAATGGGAGCCCTTACCCTCTCTGAGGAGCAAATGGGGGGTGGGATAAGGGGAAGGTGGAGGGAGCAGGAGAAGGGGAGGGAGGGGGAACTGGGTTTAATATGTAAAAATAATAAATTAATTAAAAAAAGATTGGGTTTAGGATTGGTTTTTTTTTATTCCTTTGGAGTTAATTTGCTTTTTTCATTTCCATTTTTTTAGTGGGTAATCTAGTGATAACATATACCTGTAATGTTCCATAGTTTTCTTAGAGCTAATACTGTTCAAGTTCATAAAAATATAAGGACATTAATTATATATTGGCTCATTTATTTTTCTCAGCCTTTATGATATACCTATTTGTCGCATTTACATATAGTTTAAATATCAAAAGGTAATTTTATAATTGTTGCTTTGAACAGCCATTTATATTTTAAGAAAAATTGCAGGGGAACAATCTTCAGGTAATATTTACTGTTTTGGAGATTATTTTTCCTTTATTGAAAATAGATTCTTTTCTCACAAAATATCCTGGCTATTGTTTCTCCTCCTTCTAATCCTCCTAGTTCTTCCCTGTTCCACCCCTAATTTGGTTCCAGTCACTTTCTGTCTCTCATTAGAAAAGAACAGACTTTATTTATTTATTTATTTATTTATTTATTTATTATGTATACAATGTTCTGCCTGCATGTATGCCTGCGGGCCAGAAGAGGGCACCAAATTTCATTATAGATGGTTGTGAGCCATCATGTGTTTGCTGGGAATTGAACTCAGGACCTCTGGAAGAGTAGTCAGTGCTCTTAACCTCTGAGCCATCTCTCCAGCCCCAAGAACAGACTTCTAAGAGATAATATTAAAATATAACAAAATAAAATACAAAAAGATAAACAAAAACTATCACCTTGAAATTGGACAGGACAAACCAACAGAAGGAACAGAGCCCAAGAGAAGACACACACACACACACACACACACACACACACACACACACAGGTCCTGGTGCAGACCCATGCATGCTGCTTCAGTCTCTGTGATTTTTCTTTGCATTGTTTTGCTCATGTTGATCTAGATGTCCTTGTTTTCCTGATGTTCTTCATCCCCCCTGACTCTTACACTCTTTCTGCCTCCTCCTCAGTGGGGTTCCCTGAACTCTGAGGGGAGGAATTTGATGGAGACATCCCATTTAAGGCTGAATGTTCCAAGGTATCTCACTCTCTGTGTTGTCTGGCTGTAGATCTCTGTATTTGTTCCCATCCGCTGTAGGAGGAAGCTTTTCTGATGATGACTGAACAAGGCACTGATCTATATGAGTATATCAGAATATCATTAGGAGTCATTTTAGTACTATATTTTTTCTTTGTTTAGATCAATAGTATTTGGTTTTGCCCTAGTTATGGGACTGTCTACTAAGCAGCATTGGATAGGGATTCTCTCTTGTGGAGTGGGCCTTAAGCTAAATCAGATATTGGTTGGTTACTCCCAGAAATTTGTGTTACCATCGCCCTAGCACTTCTTACAGACAGGATGAAGGTAGAATAAAGAGTTTGCAGATGAGTTGGTGTTCACATTTCTCCTTTGGTAGCATGAAGAGTACCTTCCTATACCAAAAACACTAGCCAGTGGGGGTGAAGTTTCTATATAGGCACTAGCTTGACTTCTCCATGTTCAATGAGTTGTGCAGGTGTTGTCTTTAGCAATGGAGACTTACTGCCAGATTGTGGAGAGTTAACTATTTTGGCAAGAGCCTGGGTTGTTTGGGGATTCCCATGGAACCCCTTTGGCCAACAACTCAATTGTCTAGGTGCTGGAAGCTTTGGTGACAAGAGATGACCACTTGGGACTCTGTTTTCCCCATTATTTGGCAGTTTCATTTAGATTGCCTGTATATATGTATATATTTTAGGAAGTTCCTACTCTGTTAGGTTTTCATACTACCCTTCAAATGGCCTTTAATTTTGACTGTCTCTTCCCTATTCTCTCCCTCATCTCCACTTCCCACAGCTTCACTTGATTATCTATTCCATCTGTAATTATTCTATTTCTCTTTCCCAACTAGAGTTTTCTCTTTCCCAACTAGAGTTACTGTTTCCTCTGGCCCCTTACTCTATACCTACCCTCTATGGTTATACAGATTGTATCTTGGTTATCATTGACTTAAAAGCTAGTATCTACCTATAAGCAAATTCATACCATATTAGTCTTTCTTTCTGAGTCTGAGATACCTCACTCAGGATGATTTTCTTTTCTAGTTCCATACATTTGCCAGCAAATTTCATGTCACAACTGAATAACACTCCATTGTGTAAATGTACAACTGGAAGTGCCAGTGCTTACTTACCAGGCCAAGGTTACCTGATATGGCCGGTGAGAAATAAATCTTGATCAGGCTCAAGGGGTCATAGCAAGACTGAGGCTACGACAATTTATTGCAAGCAATCAGACTTTTTATTCCCTTTCAGAAACTGAATATAATAGTACCTACCAGGATCAACATAATGGTAGTTGCCAGGATACAATGATGTTTTCAAGCTATACAGGGCACACAAGATTGATGTCTAAGACCAATTATCTAGCCAGTCTTCTATATGTTTCATTGACATCTGGGAACACAGAAACACAAACTTGCATGAGTGTTTCACCACCTGAGGTCGTACCTGGTTTCTCAGGAACTAAAAGGCACACAGTGCCCCAAGAGCCATGGACTCCAAAAACCTCTGGCATGTGCCTCTCAAGGCAGCTTAGCCAAGTCAACTCCATGATTCCCTGCATACCACATTTTCTTTATCCATTGTTCTGTTGAGGAACATCTAGATTGTTTCCAATTTCTGGATATTATGAATGAACATGTAATGAACATGGTTAATAAAGTGTCTCTGTGGTAGGATGAAATTTCCTTTGGGTATTCCCAAGAATAGAATAGCTGCATCTTTAGGTAGATTGATTCCCAGCTTCCTGAGAAACTGCAAGACTGATTGCCATAGTGGCTGTATAAGTTTACATTCCCACCAGCAATGGACAAGTGTTCCTCTTACTCTACATCCTTATCAGCATGAGCTGTCACTTGTTGTATTGATCTTAACCTGACAGGTGTCTTAGCCATTCAGTATCTCAGAGTCATTTTGATTTGCATTTCCCTGATGGCTAAGGATGTTGAACATTTCTTCAAGTATTTTTTGGCCATTTGAGTTTCCTTACTGGGAATTTGTAGTTTTTTTTTTTTTATTCTTTGTGTGGGCCCACCACCTAGCCCCCAAGTAAATACATAGAGACTTATTCTTCCTTATGAATGCCTGACCTTGGTTTGGCTTGTTTCTAGCCAGCTTTTCTTAACTTAAATTATCCTTCCTCCCTTTTGCTTTTACCTTTATTCTATATCCCTTTCTTTCCTTTCACTCTGTGACTGGCTCTGTTGCTGGGTGACTGTCCCCTGGCATCCTCCTCTCCTCCTCCTTTTCTCACTCTTCTTTTCCTCCTTCTATTTATTCTCTCTGCCTGGCAGCCCTGACAATCCCTCTCCTAGCTATTGGCCATTCAGCTCTTTATTAGACCAATCAGGTGTTTTAGGCAGGCAAAGTAACACAGCTTCACAGAGTTAAACAAATGCAACACAAAAGAATGCAACACATCTTTGCGTCATTAAACAAATATTTCACAGCATAAACAAATTTAACACATCTTAAACTAAAATTCTACAACAGGATTTCATTGTTTAGATCTATACCCTATTTTTAATTGGTTTATTTATTTTTTGATATCTAGTTCTTTGAGTTCTTTATATATTTTGGGTATTAGCCCTTTATCAGAAGTGTAGTTGGTAAAGTTTTTCCCCATTTTGTAGGCTGCAATTTTGTCTGAATGATGGTGTCCTTTGCCATGTAGAAGCTTTTCAGCTTCATGAGGTCCCATTTATTAATTGTTGATCTTAGTGGTTGTGCTAACAGTATTCTGTTCAGAATTCCTGTGCCAATAAGTTCAATGCTATTCTCCACTTTCTCTTCTACCAGATTGAGTGTATCTGGTCTTATGTTGATACCTTTGATCCATTTGGAGTTGAATTTTGTGCAGCATGATAAGTAGATCTATTTGGATTCTTCTACATGTAACCATACAGTCTGACCAGAACCATTTGTTGAAGATGTTGCCTTTTTTTCCAGTGTGTATTTCTGGCGAACAAATAAAACAACAGGTATCCATAGGTATGTGGATTTATATCTGTGCCTTTAATTTGATTCTGTTGATCAACTTGTCTGGTTTTTTGTTTGTTTGTTTGTTTTGTTTTGTTTTGTTTTGTTTTTGCCAGTATCATGCTGCTTTTAAATTAGGAAAGGTAATGCCTCCAGAAGTTCTTTTATTATTCAGGATTATTTGAGCTTGTGTGTGTGTGTGTGTGTGTGTGTGTGTGTGTGTGTGTGTGTGTGTGTGTGTTTCTATATGAAGAAGAAATAGTCCTTTCAAGATCTGTGAAGAATTGTGTTGGAATTTTGAAGGGGATTAAAGTGATCTGTAGATTACTTTTGGTAGGGTGGCCATTTTTACTATGTTAATCCTACAGATTCATGAGCATGGGAGATCTTTCCATCTTCTATTATCTTCTTTAATTTCTTCAAAGACTTGAAGTTTTTAATAATGTAAGTCTTTCATTTGCTTAGTTAGAATTACCCCAAGATATTTTATATTATTTGAGGCTATTGTGAAAGGTATTGTTTCCCTGATTTCCTCATCCATTTGTCATTTGTATATAGGAGGCCTACAGATATTTGTGAGTTAATTTTGTATTCAGATACTTTGCTGACAGTGTTTACTAGCTATAGGAGTTTCCTGGTAGAATTCATATCCAGCAATGTGGTGTAATCTTTCTTGAACAAATAAAGCCTGTCTGGGGGTCAGAGAATGGAGTTTGCCACTAGCTAACCATAGAGGTCTGGAGGTCTGTACAGACAGACAGGAAGTGACGTAGCTGGACAGATACACAGCAACTTTACTGAAGGTGCTTATCACCTGTAGGAGTTCTTAGTTGAATTGTAGGGTCACTTATGTATGCTATCATATCATCTGCAAATAAAAATATTTTGACTTCTTTCCAGTTTGTATGTCCTTAATCTCATTCAGTTGTCTTACTGCTCTAGCTAAGACTTCAAGCACTATATTGAATAGGTATGGAGAGGATGGACAACCTTGTCTTATTTTTTATTTTATTGGAATTGCTATGAATTTGTGTTAATGGTTTCTCAGTTGAGTTGACTTTCCTCTCAAAGAACACTGGAAAATATTTACCAACAATTTTGGTTGTGAGCCTAGCCTTTAATGTCTGAGCCACCTCTCCAGCCCTTGCCAATCTTTTTCATGGTTATTTCTGAAATAGGAGGTGCTTCTTCAGTCCAGAAGATGGAGGCCAGGAAAGCTGTTAAATAGTATATGGTGCTCAGAACAAAAACGAGTTTTCTAGCCTAAAAATGTCAATGCTTAGATTGAGACCTAAAGTGTAAGTTAAATATGATTTTACTGTAATTTTTGGACTTTATTAAATCTATCATATGATTTATTGAATTTAGTAATTATCAACAGCATACTGTTACCTCTGACTAAAAAGGTGGTTTTATATAAAGACATGGTATATGGTTTGTTGGTTGAATTACTGCAGATATAAATAGTTGTTTGTGTAAGTAAGGGAGAAATATGCCTTTAACTCAGACATATGTGGACTGCTGGCTGAGATACTTTAATGGTTATACCTTGAATTAGAAATAGAGCCTTTTCCCTCTTCCCCACAGAAGTAGCCTGTAACCAATATTCTGTACTGCTTGATAACTGATGGGGAAGGCTTTTAAGAATACTTTAAAATACTTGCTTTCTTGGGTTGGAGTGGTAACTCAACAGTGAGGAGTTTGTAATGCTCTTATACAGGACTCAGGTTCAGTTCCTAACACCTGTATCAGGCAGCTCACAGCCACTGTAACTTTATGTCCAGGAATATCCAGTACCTTTGGCCTCCATGGGCACTTCATTTATATATACATTGCCGCATAGAGATACATGGACACACATAATTAAAAATAAAGATATATGTTTTTGTCTCTTTTTTTATATTTTGCCGTAGCAGGGCTCAGAGTTAAAGATATGATTGTTTTCTTTTTTCTTTTTTCTTTAAAGACAGGTTTCATGTAGCTCAGTTTGGCCTCAAACTTGGTATGTAGCAGAGGATAACTTTGTAGTTTATATTCTCCTGATCTCACCTCCAATGTGCAAGGATTACAGGCATGCAGAACCATGTTTGGCTTTATGTAGAATCAGTTCTCATAACCAGTATAAACTAGGCACACAGTATAAACTGAGCTACATTCACAATCCTCCTTGAATCCACTAAATAATACAAAATACTCTTAGGAGATGCTATTTGAGCTTATGTAATCAGAATACTTTTAAAGAAACTATATAAAATTAGAGTGTTTTAAAATATTTATTAGCTTTAATTACATGTGTATATGTATGTGTGTATCTGTCTTTGTTGACGTAATATGAGGGTGTTAGACACCCTAGAACTGGAGTTACAGGTAGTTGTGAGCTATCCAGTGTTAGTGCTGGGAACCAAACACAGGTCCTCTGCAAGAACAGTATATGATATTGACCACTGAGGCATCTCTCTAGCTCCTAGAATTGTTTTGCTTTTTAAAAAGAGTAAGCATGAACCATTATTAAGATGTCAAATAAAAAATGTCTTTCTTGTATAATAGGTTGGACAGCACTTCATGAAGCTAGTGTAGGAGGATTTTATCAGACAGTAAGTGAACTATTAAAGGGTGGAGCAGATGTGAATGTCAAAGGAAAGTACCAGATTACTCCCCTACATGATGCTGTGATGAATGGACATTATAAGGTACTTTAATGCTTCTGTTTATAGAATACATACAGTATGTGTAAATACTGATGATCTCATTTACCACACAGTAGGAAAGAAAGTTTCAGTTCATTTACTAATGAATACTCAGATTTTGAAATAAAATTTGCCTTGTGATAGTTACCATTAGGCCCAATGTGATGGATGCCATTTTGCACTTTTTTGGTGATTTTTTTTATTTGTTTATTTGAAATAAGTCTTGATACTATTGTCCAGGATGGCCTTGAGTTCCTGGGCTCAAGGGATCTTCCTGCCTCAGTCTCCTAAAGCAGAGATTACACGAGCATACCATTTTAACATACTATTTGTATGTAGTCATACAGAACATTTTTCTTACATAGTATGATTTTCACTGTATACTCATTTAAAGCTCTTTTCACACAATGATTTATACTTTGCAAAGAACGTTTTCTTCTATAAACAGCAATGTTTAGTCCAGTAGGAAACCAGTAACGTCATGGACTCCAGTGGAACATTCATCACAGGTTAGGAGAATGCCAGAGTTAACCATAGTTCCCTGCATGGTTATACCACAGTTTAAAATCAAATACCATAATTTCATTCTAGTAAATGAAAATATTAAGCAAGATGATGAATTCAGTATCCATGGTCCACCTCAGAAACTACAGGCACTATATGAGAGGATTGAAGCCTTGCCGAGAAGATGTCCCTGCTCCTCCTCCTGCTGCTCCTGCTCTCCTGTTTGCCCTCCTCCCCATTCTCCCTCTTCTTTCCCTCCTCCTTCTTTTTGTAGTGCTGTGCATCTAATTTAGGGCATTGCCCGAGCTAGTAAAGCATTTATCACTGAGCTATACTCCCATTCCCCGAAGATATTTAACTGTTTATTTCAGGTATGAGAAGTTATTTATGGGCTAAAAACTCCTGGTGTATGAAGGGGTTTGATCAGCTGACTATGGTATGATCTTTTCTTCATGGTTTTAGAACAAGTAGCAAGCATGGAGAGATTGAAGACGCTTCTGGGTGTCATGGACATACTTATTTGCAGTGTAGAGGAGTGCTTAAGGGGAATTTAGATAATTTTGCTTATTTTGATAATGTATTCGATAATGTTGGTGGATGGGGATACCATTTGAGGAAAACTGTGGAAAGAGAATTCCTCATGGGACATAGTTTAATGGTTAGAAGAATGCCAGTATGGCAGCCCCTGTCCTTTACTCTTCTTTCAAAGATGGCCAACAGTCAGTCTCCTTTCTCCCAACCCAGCCCTTCATAGCAGATTATCTGATTTCTATTGTTGTAGTTCTGTCTTTTTCAGAATACCAGAAATATCAGAATGTTTCCTCCTGTGTTTCCCATTTAAAACTTAGCATACAACATTCATCTATGTTGTATGATGTTAAATAGTTGGTATCTCTTTATTCTTGAATAATATCCCACTCCAAGGTCACATGTAAAGCTGCTATCAATGCTCAAAAATAGAATGACAGAAGGTAAAACTACATAGGAAAGTTTTAAAATCAGCCCACAAATTTTTTAATATTCTTTCCTCAAAAGGTAGAGCCTAATTACCCTCCAAGGAATAAAGAATGATATTTTGATGACTTGGGTCTAGCAAATAAGACATGGCAGCATGTGGTTTCTAAGGTTATGTTAACAGATGATACTGGAACATTTTGATTCTTTCTCTTGACACATTGACTAGAGAAGGCTAAGTGTTGTATCATATAGACACTCAAGCAGCTGTTTAGAGTAGCCCATGCAGCAATGATTATTGCTTCTGCCTATAGCTGGGTTACCCAGCCATTTTAGAAAAATATCCTCTAGCCCCAGTCAAGGTTTTGTATGACTGTATACCCAGCCAACAGCCTGATTACATGATAGACTATTGGACAGAACCATCTACCTAGGCCACTTTTAAATTCCTGACTCAAACTGTGAGATTATGCATTTTGATTGCTATCTTAAGCCACTAAATTGTGAGGTGATTTTTTTTTAGTTGTAGAAGGAACACATGAGGAAAGTTTGATTAATTTGCACCCTTCAAAGTTCTTATCTGGAATAGAAGTGTAGCTCAGTGGTAGAACACTGCTAGCTTTTGTAAGGTCCTGGGTTCAAGCCCCAGGGGGAATTGTTAACATGTGGACATTTGGAAGGCAGACTGTCTCTTATCCACAACAAATCTTGCCAAAGTAATGTATTCAGCCCTTGTCCTAACCCAGATTCCACAAGGCTCTTACCTGACTTCCCTGTTGAGCCCAGTCACCTTTTTTACACTCCTCTCTCCTCCATCTTCTTTGTCATACATCTTACTACTGAACACAAAATCTCAGCAGCTGAACACCATAGTCCTGTTAGTTATTTCCAAGTCAAAGTACTTTTCCTGAGTGAAGGCAGTGTGTTCTGGTTTTCTTTGCTAAACAATACTTGTAAAGATCCAGATATAAATTCTTTGGCTTCTTCCTATAACTGACTTAATGCATGAACTTGATTTTATCTACTATTGCTTTATTTTTATATCTAACATTAAATCCCCTTGTAAAGCAGTTTAAAAAAGACTCATCACATTGCTAATTCTTATCAATTTTTAAAGAATCTGTTTTTCTTCTCTTTTCCTATTATAGTATGTCCTCAGTTGTAACTTCCAAGTCTTAACATTTGCACTGTAAATTTTGTACTGCTTTATTGTGTAGACTAAATGATGATCCACATGAGATAGTTATTGTCAACCACACTGATCAAGCCAATTAAAAGTTTTAGGTCCTTTTTATGGATGGCCAGACCAAGAGCAGGCTTGTGCCTCTGAAAAGTCTCTTGGTGCCCAAGCTCAGGGATGCAGAGTTTTTAAGACAAAACCACCAAGACCATAACTTACATCAAAGTTAGATGAGGGTCAGCATAACCTTAAACTGTTCATTCCTGGCAGAGCATGGTAGTTATTTTAGATGTAACTTGTCAATTATTTTTGACTTATATCTTTTCTTGTTATTTCATTTTACTTAATGATTTTGGTTAATGCATTTGGACCATTGTCAAGGCCATGGAAAACTCAAATTTGTTGCCAAGGCAGATATGACCATTTGAGGGAAGAGGGGTAGAGAGCAGAGAACTGTCTAAGCACACAAAATGGAGTCAGAACAAGATGGCATTATTTTAGTCATTTTAAGACTGCTTGAAATAAAATCTTAAGATGATAACAGTGGTAAGAATGAATAAATATTAACAAAAGGTCAGGGTTAGTGAAAGTTTCTAGTGTTGGTAATATTGTTAGATCATGTTGGTTTGCTAGAAAAGTATCTGTGGTTTCTAGTTCTCAGACTTTTAACAGTGCTGTTATTGCCATCATTTTTGTGACTTATAGCATGTATGTGAATCTCATTGTGCCATTATTTCACATACAGTTAAGTGCTGTCTTTGTGGAGACTGAACAGACAGAAATTTTTTTCCACTTCAAACTGTTACTGTTGGCCCTTTTATTTTAACTGAATTCCTGTTTAATAATTACAGGTACCATACCCCCTTCTGCTTTATAACTAAAGATGAAAATAAGAAACATAAGATATTAACTATACATCTTAAACCACTCCATCTAAGCTAACTTCTAGTTTAAGGAAACATAGAAAAGTATATAGTTGAATTAAATGTTTCCAGGAAAATGTGATGAACTTATCAGGACATCTATAAGAAATATTGGCCAAATCATTACAAAAAGGGAGTACTTAAAAATAAAAAAGTGAAAAGGGTATGTGAGCCATGATTGAAATATATGTATTTTGGGACGGTTTGGAGAATATGAATATGTACTAGATACTGGATAAATGATACTAGCAATATGTAGTTAGTTTCTTGTCTAAGCTGTATAATACTATAATCATGGTCTTGTGAGCATTCTTAGGAGGAGCACACTTAAATATTTAGAGGTGAAATGTCACTGTATTTGTAACTGCTTGTTTAAAAAGCTATTCATTTCTGCTTATACTTACATACCTACATTTATACAGATAACATGCATATATGCATGAAGTAGGGGGAAAGGCTAATTGTTGATCAGTTAAGTGTCCAATGTATTCTTGTTTATTTGTTTGTTTTTGAAACAACATCTCTCTACATAGCCCTGGTTGTCCTCATTATGTAGACCAGAATGGCCTTGAACTCACCGATCCACTCTGTTTCCCAAATGCTGAAATTAAAGGTGTGTGCCAACATGTTGTACTTCCATTACATTCTTGGGGAAATTATTCTTGAAGGAAAAACTAGTAGGATTCATTTTTAAATAATATTCATGGACATATAATTGCTATACTATGAAATGCACCCATAAGTATATAATTAACTGGTTTTGGTCTATTCACAGAATTTGGTAACCATAACTGTAGTATATCTTTATGCTTTTAATACTAAAGGAGAAAACCTTTATTCTTTTTTTTTCAGATTTATTTTATTTGAATTAGAAACAGGATTGTTTTACATGACAATCCCAGTTCCCTTCTCTCTCCCATCCTCCCCTACCACCACCACCCCCACTAAAACCCTACCTATCACATATCCTTTCTGCTCCCCTGGGAGGGTGAAGCCTTCCATAGGGGGTCATCAGAGTCTATCATATCCTTTGGGATAGGGCCTAGTCCCACCCCCGTGTGTCTTGGCTCAGTGAGTATTCCTCTATATGGAATGGGCTCCCAAAGTCCACACCTATGCTAAGGATAAGTACTGAACTACTATGGGAGGTCCTGTAGATTTCTGAGAAAAACTTTATTCTTTAGCCAGCACTTCATATTGACGCCCAAGTCTTCCTACTCTAGGAAACCATTTATCTTGTGTCTGTCTCCTGATTAGACCAAAGTTATGGGCTTGGGGAGGAAGAAGAAGTGGCACTCTCTTCACAGAGTACCCTCTTCCTTTCCCTTCTCTTCTCTCCCTTTTCTTGTTTAGTTTGTGTTGTTTGTTGTTGTTGTTGTTTGTTTGTTCTTTTGTAAGAGAAAAAGTTTTCTTTCTTTTTTTTTAGGTCTTAGATGATGGCAATTTAATGTTTTTGGTTTAACAGAAATAATATGTTGAAAGGAATGTACTATCAAAATTAAGCAACGTTCCCCCAGGAACTCAAAGGCTTCTCCAGAGAGTGAAGCAGGTTGCTCATTATAGATCTTTTTTTTTATTCTTTAATTACTACTCATATTTACATATTCATCCTCCCCATTCCCTTGCCCACCCATCCTCCCATGTTCCCCACCAACCCACCAATCCACCCCCCAACTCCTCCCCAGGGATAGTGAGGCCTCTCACCAGGGACCTTCAAAGTCTGTCATATGGTTTGAGGGAGGGCCTAGGCCCTCCTTGCTGTATCTGGCCTACAATAGTGTCCCTCCATAGGGAATGGGTTCCCAAAGTCCATTGTGCTCTAGGGATAAAACTGGCTCCACTGTTAGAGGTCCCATAGACTGTCTTGGTCTCCTAGCTGGCACCCACATTCAGAGGGCTTGAAAAAGTTTTCTTATTAAACAGATTATAACTCAGAGGAAATTACTAATTATGCTTATTGGGCAGAGATTTTTATAGGTAACCCTGACTCTGAGTTGTTGAAGTAAATGTTTAGTGGTGTTTAGAGTTCTGTGCTAGCATACATTTACAAAATATACCCTTTGTCTGAGCTCCTTTATGTGAACAACCTTTTTCTAGGTGGCAGAGTTACTTCTCTTGAATGGAGCTGACCCATTATTTAGAAGTGACCATGGAACATGTGCTTTGGATGAGGCCAAGGATTCCTTTATGGAGAATCTCCTTAAGAAATACATTCCCAAACATAAAAAATGTCACCTATCAGGTAAGATTGAACCACTCTGTTGTAGTTTCTGATCATGTTAGTAGAAACTGAATTTAGAATGTGGAAGTTGGATTAGTTTCTCCCACAAGTTTTGAGAAAGTGATGTCTTTGTTTAATCCTTTGAATAAAACTCACTGCTTGTTTGCAGGTGCACATAAGAAAAGAGAAGAGCCCACTTTTCATCCAGCTGTGATGGTGCTAATAGTTAACCCTTTTGCAGGTCAGATTGGTAGTGCATATCTTTAATCCCAACACTTTGGAGGCAGAGGCAGGTAGATCTCTGAGTTTGGGATCTACTTGTGGTTTATGTAGTGAGTTCCAGGATAGCCAGGGTGATGTAGAGAAATAAACCCTTTACAAATTTCTGCTTCCTTTTCAATTCTTTGATATGACAGAAATTATAATTCTAGCCACTTCAGTGAAAGTGGGTGGTAAATATGTATGTTTATTATCCATTCCCTAAGAAGTTTCTCTTATGGCCATAGTTTGATTTTCTATTACATTGTTAAGTTGAAGTACAAAATAATTTCATCTGAGATTGTCAAAAATATTATTTTGAATATTTAAAACACATAGCTTTTTTCTTTTTATTGTTTTTTCCAGCCAGGGTTTCTCTGTGTAGTCCTGACTGTCCTGGAACTTGCTCTATAGACCAGGCTGACCTCGAACTCAAGAGATCCTCATGTTTCTGCCTCGAAAGTGCTGGGATTAGAGTTGTGCACCACCACTGCCTGGCTCGTGGCTTATTTTTATACCCTCTTCAATATATCTGTTAGTCTTTTTTGTAACATCATAACATTTCTTGGTCAAAGGAGTTGGTTCTTCATTCTTTTCATAACCTCATTTTTGCTATGTTCTGTTTGTTAGAAATCGGTCACTAAGTTCACCTGCACTCAAGGAGAGAAGATTTTGTTTCCATATTTTGAAAACAGTTTTAAAAAATACAGATATCAGTGTATTCATTCTAGCACTGCTTGCATTGCTCTACTGAGCCTTTTCCACAGCACATAATGTACTGGCACAGGAGGCTGTTTGCTTATTGTTTTATTTGTGTTGTCCTTATATAGAATTTAAATTCTATAAAAAGAATCTTTGCTTTATCTCCTTGTGAATACTGAATTTGCCTTGTATATAGTAGCCATTCAGAAAATACTTTTTGAATAGTGTGCTGAAAACAAAAACTTTGTTTTCCATTCAGAAGTGTATGAGCACTTAATTTTCTCAATTTCCCCTTTCTCCCTCTCTCTGTTTTGTTACACTTATTTATTTATTGTATGTGTACATGCACACATGTACCCTATCATGTGTGCATGGAGGTTAGACAGCACATAGAAATTAACTCTATCCCATGTGGGTCCCAGGGATCAAACTCAGGTCTTCAGCCTTGGTGGCAAATACCTTTACCTGGAGTTGTCTCTGTGGTCCTTAAACTACAATTTTAATTTTAAAAAAATTTCAGGAGATAATTCTTTCAAATGCTTAGAGTATTATCTTTAATAACCAAGGCTTATGCTTTTGGAATTTCTCTTTTGTTCACAGGAATATTTAGTCTGAGAATCCTTCTAGAACAAGTGTTGTTCCCTCCAATTTGAAGGAAGCTTAAATTGGTAGTGGAAATCTAATCTCTGCTACAGTTCTGATTCTCCCTGGATACAAGCAATACAACTATGCTTGTCTTATAGTTTTTTTCAATAGCATAAGGGTTTTTCAGTAAAAATTCTTCAGTGGCAAATAATCATCTTAAGACAGAAAAAGGAGTTTCTTGGCAGAACAGCTCAAAAATGAAAGAAAAGGCTGAGGAAAAGATGAATAAAAGCAGCTCCAGGGATCTAGGCAGCAGGGATCTGTGGACTGATTTCAGATTTCTGCCTGTCAGAACATGTGTTGGACATCTAAAACCCTGACTGCCACCATCCCTCTGGAAAGAATTCATCACTCACTCCCTTCATTCCTCCCTCCCTCCTTCCCTCCCCTCTTTCTTTCCCTCCCTCCCATTCATTTGTTCTTTCATTCATGGCTTACTATGTTTTAGGCACCAATTAGGCTAATGCCTAATAATACAAAATGAATTTTATAAAAAACCAAGTAGCAAACAATTATAGTGGAGAGCATGATAAAGGAATGATTTAGATCCTATGAGAATACATTAAAAAGGCAGTACTCCAGCTTCTTTAAACCCTGGTATATAAACATCATGGTTGGTGATTGTTATCGCAAGCCTTTTGATAACTCTACTGGAAAAGCTCTTTTCTTGATTTAAGTTGTTTCAACTAAAATTGAAAGTGTACTTCCTTGCCAACTGTGTTATATTTAATATGACAGTTCTTCCAATTATTGTTGAGCGTATTTGCTGAAAATAAGGGGCTATATAGCATTCTGACTGTTGGTCATGAGACTGGTCCTCCTTTATGGATACATTTTATTATTTTCCCCATTTTATTATGTTATAGCTATTCATGTTTTTTTACATCTTCAAGACATATAATTATATAAATGCTTTTGACTAAGGACTTAGACCTAGACCAAATGCTTCATTTATGTAATACATAACACTGAATTTTTTTCACATATGTTATGTTTTACTACTTATTCAATCATTTAGAAGTTGTCTTTTTATTTTATTTTTATTTTTATAATTGTAATTAGACCAATTTTAAATTAGATATAAACTTTTACATGTCAATCTCAGTTCCCTCTCCCTCCCTCCTCCACTGCCCCCCTCACTCCCTATCCCAACCCCTTTCTGCTCCCCAAGGAGGGTGAGGCCTTCCATGGGGAATCTTCAGAGTCTGTCATATCATTTGGAGCAGGGCTAGACCCTCCCCTGTGTGTCTAGGCTGAGAGAGTATCCCTCCATGTGGAGAAGGCTCCCAAAGTCCATTCATATACTAGGAATAAATACTGATCTACTACCAGAGGCCCCATAGATTGTCCAGACCTCCAAACTGACATCCTCATTCAGGGGGTCTGGAACAGTCCTATGCTGGTTTCCCAGCTATCAGTCTGGGGTCCGTGAGCAACCTGTTGTTCAGGTCAGCTTTTTCTGTAGGTTTCTCCAGTCTGGTTCTGACCCCTTTGCTTATCTCTCCTCCCTCTCTGCAACTGGATTCCAGAGTTCAGTTCAGTGTTTAGCTGTGGGTGTCTGTTTCTGCTTCCATCAGCATGGCATATAAGGTAGTTATCAATCTCATTAGCAGAGAATGGCATTTAAGATAGCCTCTCAACTATTGCTTAGACCCTCTATTATGGTATCTCTTTTCTTGCTCTCTTCTATTCTTCCCCCAACTCAACCTCCCTGCCCCATCATAACTTCTTCACCCCTTCTCTTCTCCCCTTCTCATTTTCCTAGTTCCCTCTTCCCTCCCACCATGCTCCGAATTTGCTCAGCCACTGAGTAGTACTCCATTGTGTAAATATACCACATTTTCTCCATCCATTCTTCAGTTGAGGGGCAGCTAGATTGTTTCCAGGTTATGGCTATTACAAATAATCCTGCTATGAACATAATTGAACAGATGTCCTTGTTGTATGAATGTGCTTCTTTTTGGTATATGCCTAAGAGTGGCATTGATGGATCTTGTGGTTGACTGATTCCCGTTTTCTTGAGGAGTCCTGATACTGATTTCCAAAGTGGCTGTACAAGTTGGCACTGCCACCAGCAGTGGAGAAGTGTTCCCCTTTCTCCCATCCTCTCCAGCATAAACTGTCATTGGTGTTTTTGATTTTAGCCATTCTGACAGGAGTAAGATGGTATCTCAGAGTTGTTTTGATTTGCATTTCCCTGATGGCTAAGGATGTTGAACACTTTCTTATATGTCTTTCAGCCATTTTAGATTCCTCCATTGAGAATTCTCTACTTAGTTCTGTACCCCACTTTTTAATTGGGTTAGTTGGTGTTTTGGAAACTAGCTTCTTGAGTTCTTTGTATATTTTGGAGATCAGTCCTCTGTCAAATGTGGGGTTGGTGAATATCTTTTCCCAATCTGTGGGCTGCCGTTTTGTCTTGTTGACTGTGTCCTTTGCCTTACAGAATGCCTCTCAGTTTCAGGAGGTCCCATTTATTAATTGTCGATCTCAGTATCTGTGCTACTGGTGTTATATTCAGGAGGTAGACTCCTGTACCAATTCATTCGAGGGTACCACCTACTGGTTCATATTGAGGTCTTTGATCCATTTGGACTTATGTTTTGTGCATGGTAATAGATATGGATCTATCTGCAATCTTCTACATGTCAGCATCCACACCATTTGGTGTGGATGCTTTCTTTTTTCTATTGTATAACTTCAGCTTCTTTATCAAAAATCAGATGTTTGTAGGTGTGTGGTTTAATATCAGGGTTTTAAATTAGATTGCATTAGTCTACTTGTCTATTTTTGTACCAATACCAAGCCATTTTCAGGACTGTAGCTCTATAATAGAGCTTAATGTCAGGGATGGTGATGCCTCCAGATGTTCCTTCATTGTACAGGGTTGTTTGGCTATCCTGGGTCTTTTGTTTTTGCATATAAAGTTTAGAATTGTTCTTTCAAGGTCTGTGAATAATTATACTGGGATTTTGATGGGGATTGCATTGAATCTGTAGATTGCTTTTGGCAAGATTGCCATTTTTACTAGAGAACACTGAATTTTTTTAATGTGATCTTACTATATTGCTTAGGCTGGACTTGAGCCCCTGAGCTCAGGCCTTTCTCTTAGCCTCCTCAGTAGCTGGGACTATAGACATATACCCTGGTACTGCTTCCACAGAGTAGCAAGTAAATGTCTTTAGAGCAGAACTCACTCTTAGAAACAAGTCACATCAGCAGAGACAGACAAAACTTGTTGATGCCAGGTTCATAAGAACATACTGAAGTAAACTATTAGAACAATCATATTATGTTTCAAGGCACACAAAAATTGCAAATAAAATGTCAATGCTAGAGGCACAAGTTTAAAACTATGAAATGTGCTGTAATGCTATTCTTAATAGTGTGGCTTCTTTATTCTCTAATGAAAGAGACCTTTTTTTTTTCTTTCCTGAAAGTGTTTTCTCCAGAATTCTAGCCCTCTCTAAATCCTGAAGCCCTGTTCACTAGTGCCCCCTCCTCTGATCTAACCCCTGTTTCTCTAACCTAATCCCACACGGGAAATTTCCTTCATGCAATGGAATTTGTAACCTTTCTCCTTTGGACTTGGCTTTTGTTCTTTCTTTGTGAGAGAATTTATTATGCTTTAGCAGGTGCTTTGATTATTTCTTAAGCACGAATATTTGAATTGTCATTAATTAGCACCCTATTTTCCAAAGTAATGTGAATTTTGTTTTCTTAATAAGTATATATCCTTGAACAAGTCATTTGTTTTTAGATTTCAGTTCAAAAAAGGCTTTGTTTTACTTTATTCTATTTTTTTGTTTTGTTTTGAAATGCTAGGGATCAAACCCAAGCCTGGTTATATATAGGTAAACACACTCCCCCCAAGCTTTATCCCCAGCCCTGAAGAATGTTGTTGTTAAAATTATAGGAATGATGAATTAAGAACATCAAGAATGTTCTTAATATGAAATGTATTTGCTGATTTTTCTGTTAAGACATACATATGCTTTGATGGGTAAAACTCATTCTTATAGATTTTATCACATTGGGTAATTTTGGGTAATTGACATCCCTGTTTTCTCATCTGCAATTTGACCTTATTTTTTTTATAGGATCTTACTATATAGTCCTAGCTGGCCTGGAACTCACTATGTAGACCATGCTGGCCTCGAGTTCACATAAATCCACCTGTGTCTACTTCCTGAGTGCTGAGATTAAAGGCATGCACACCATACCTGGCTTTGCAAAATCAGACTTTTAATATTTGTTCATCTACTCAAATATGTGTGTGAATGTTAGTGTGAGGGTTCGAGTAATGTATGTAAAACCTCAACATACTGCTTGGAGCATGATGGGAGCTCAGAAGGACAGAAAGAAATATTTCTAAGATTAACATTAGCAAACCCACCACTTGAGAATGTCTGTCTGTATAGCCAGTTAGCTGTACTAGGGAATGTGGTCTTTAAGACACATAATTCTGTAGCAGTTCTTAGTTTTCATTTATGGATATTTGGTGAAGGCAGAGACATTGAGAAATTTGCCCAGGGTCACCCAGCTCATAAACAAGAGAAGCAACAGTAAAACTCTGGAGGGTAGTTTTGACAGGACATTCTGGGCAACTCTTCTCACTTGAATGGGGTAAATGGAATTTGATTGTAATGGTAAAAGTCATTTCTAAGAAATAAATTAAATTCCTGATATTTAATCACATCCTTGTTAAGATATTTTTCCCACTTATATTCAAGGAAATTTATATTTTTATGTATCCCTTCTAAAATGTTAGTTTATTCCAGCAGATATTCATTGAATATTTTCTATGTGAAAATAGAAACTATATAAGCTTTTATCTTTTTTGGTTAACTGCACGTGTGCCTAATTATAATTACACATTCAGTATTTTAAGAAGGCAAGGAGAGATATGCTAAATTGAAATCTTTTAATTGTCAACCTTGGCCCCTTTTTAAATATAAGTATTTTTTTGTTTCCTCTATGCATTCACAGTGTTCTTGATCCTGTCTATGCATATTAATACTTTGCTTTGAAGACAGTGCAGCATTCATGCTAGGACCCTATTAAGCAGACATATTGGAAAATGATGATCTATTTAAAGTTTTTATTACATCATTTGTGTGTGTGTGTGTGTGTGTGTGTGTGTGTGTGTGTGTGTGTAGTATGGCATGTATCTGGAGAACAGAGGACAGCTTGTAGGAGTCAGTTCTCTCCTTCCACCTAGTGAGTCCTAGAGATAAAACTCAGCTTATCAATCTTGGCAGCAGGTGCCCTTCCCCACTGAGCCATCTTGCCAGCCCATGATAATCTATGTAGTTATGAAAGGGTTTTTTTTAACCTTTTAGCAATGGGAAAACGATTGGTTTAAGGATATCAAACTGCAGTTGGACAAGAGGCATGGACTCTCTGAAGTCTTGAGGTCTACTGAAAGCATGATAAATATGGTTGATAACAATATGCTATATTTTAAAAGTTGTGAGATAGTATACTTTAAGTGTTCTCAAAACAAAAATGATGAATATGTGTGATATAACATGTTAATTGATTTAATTTAGCCATGCCATTGTGAACATACTGTGTTCTGTATCATAATTGTGCATGACTTTATTTATGAGCTAAATAAATGAATGAAAAAAAGGAAAAACAAAAAAGCTTGCATAATCTACTGAATAAAGAGAATATATATGATATTTCTGTGAGTAAACTAAAAAATACTAAGTTTGGTGCTCATATTTATTATTAGTTATTTTGTCAGATCTATTTACTTTTCCAATAGAAATATTATCACTCAAAGTAATACTTAGCTTGTAATAATTATTTAGTAATGTTGTATTGCCAGATTTAATATAAAACATTTACATGATTTCACATATTTCCTCTAGTTTTAAATTTTTATTTGAGTGTGCATGTGTGTATGTTCATGTATTTGAGTACAAGTGTGAACATGGCAGGTAGAAGGCAGAGGACAACTCTGGGGAGTTAGTTCTCTCCTGCCACCTGTGGGATCCAGGTATTGAATTCAAGTCATCAGGCCTGCTGGCTCATTTTGCTGGCCTACCCTCTAGTTTTTATTTGTTTGTTTGTTTTTGTTTTTTTTCATGGCAAAAGACTTGCAGGTTTTAGAAATCTACTGGAAACTATTTTTTCTTTTATTCTCTTTTTATATGCAGATCAAAGGAAGAGCACTGACCCATCATATGCAGAAGATATATTCCAGTACAAGGTATATCTGTATTTAGTAATAAATGTTTTTGCAGGTTACCTGCTGGTTATTTTAAAAAGAAAGACTGGTGAAGCATTCGTCAGGTTAGTGACTTCACTTTTGGTTTAAGACACTTTGGAATAATTGCATGAGCTACCAAAAGATTCTAGCCTGTTAGTCTGAGAAGCAGTTAGGTGAGTGTAGCATACTATGGTCATGTGTTGTAAGCTATGTCCTTTCTGTTGCTCTTTATGGGGTCTGGGACTTAAAAACCATATCAAAATTTTTCTGATTTATGAGTAATGCAAGTAATACAAGAGTAATAATTACAGTTATCAGTCCAACAGAATTTACATTATGGGTAGTTACTCTTCATCTGGTATTTGAGTTGTGGGCAGTGAGAAGCAATGTTGTTTTAATCCTAGCATCCCACTATTAAGTTTCCAGGGAAACCATTTTAGAAGTCATCTGTCTTTTAGTTTTCAAATCCCATCTTCCACTGTTCTACCCATAATTCTTCTAAATAGCAAAGGAAGAAACTAACCTAATTCTAGTCTTTGCTATGTGACAATTGGGAGAGGATATTGTCTTGGAAGTTCTTCTGTAATGCTCCCTTCACACTCTCACAGAGTCTAAAGATCTGTAACTGAAATTAAATCTAACCATGTTTTTTTGTTGTTGTTGTTTTCTATAGAAACCAAAATTAAGTTCTAATAATCACACTGACTTTATCTGTGATGAAAATTCTAATAGACAGGAACCAGGACATGTAGAAACCAATAAAGAAATCAACAATTTACTTGTAAATAAAGAATATGTACATGAATTTCATCAGAAAAATTCCAATACCAAAGAATTTGGCAATTCCAAGCCTAGGCAGTCAGCTGTTAACCAAACAGACTCTGCAGGACTCCAAAGGAACAATGCCCACAGTGTGAACAATAGCAGAACTGATGTGTCTAAAAGTAAAGGACCAAGAAATACACAAAATAAAAAAACTCAAGTAGATGATAGAGACTGCAATCTAAGTCAGGGAGTAGCTGTTTCTTCTTTCGGGAGGATGAATAAATTAGTTACTCTGCAGCAGCATACTGTCCAAACCCTTGATGACCTTCCAAAAGAGTCATGTGAACTTTCTATCCCAATTCCAACAAGCTTAAAAAATGGTTCAGGTAACAGCGATGAGGCTTGTTTGATTTCCAAAAAGGCGAATACCCACATTCTGGATTTATCGGTTAGTCAAGAAATGCAGTTCTTGGAATTAGGGTCCATTGATCAAACTAAAGCTGCTTCCTTCTCTGAACTTCCATTATATGAAGAAATAAAATTACCACATGTAACTGCAGATCAACCTAACACTAACCAAGAGCAATGCAATAGCCCACGTAATCCCCCTGAAAACAATAGATCAGAAAAAGGCAAGAACCTTAATGAGTGGGAAGATTCCTTCCTCTCCTTCATAAAAGGACACTTTGCTGACAGTGACAGTGATGGTCACACCTCTGTCAAGTCTGTGGCATCTCAGAAAGAGTGCATGGGCCACTGCCATAATGAAGCAAGCACAGCAGAGGGAGAAGAAATGGACTCTCTACAGGTTTTATCTTCTGAAAACTATTTTTCACAGGAAACCGAGCAAAAAGCAGGTAGCCTAACTACATATCCACAAGAGGAAGCTGTTAATTATTGTGATTCAAATAAATCATTAATTTATGAACAACATTTTCCAAATTATAATTGTATACATGGAATTGCTTTTGATCACTCATATGCCAATACTGAGTACAATTGGATGCCTTGCACAAGACCACCTTCAACACAGAAAGTTACACAGGTGACTGGTCAAGTGGAGCTGTTAAAAGCATTCCAGAATAATGCCCACAGAGAACCAACTCCTTTAGTAAATCAAGCTGATACATTTAATGTGGAAAAGAAGCAAGACACTGAGAGGAATTATACTGTAAAAGGCCAAAAACCAAGTCCTTCAAATAGTTCTTTACACACAGTTGTTCATTCTCAAGTAATAGAAATACCTACAGATGAAAAAAGGACACAAGACCTTCCAGGGAGCAAGCCCGTCAACAATACCGATTTTCATTCCACTGACAATGTGAATAAAGAATTGGCTAGCTCCTCACCACAACTTAATGAAGGAGAGGAGAAGGAAATTGCTCACAAATCAGGTATTTTTTCTCAATTTTTACATTTCTTCTAGCTCTCCATCTGTAGAAATCTACAACTGAATTCTATTTACCCTGTGGTCCAGCTGACAAACAGGAGGTCATCATGTAGATTGTGATTTGGGAAGCTGATCAGTAAGAGATCTGTGCTTGGTTGTGATTTGAGGCTTATACTCTGTCATCTGGGCTAGCCAAAACATCCCTAGTACTTACTTTGAAAGTCAAAGTCTTATCAAAGATGGTTACTAAACTGATACCAATGAAAGCTAATGAACAATGTATCTACCAATTTTTCTATCTCTTTTTAATATGGCACTAATTTAGCTTTCAAATACTAAAGTCATTTTCATGGAGGAAAATTGCTATCTCCACTATTCATTGTGTCTCCATTAGCACCACAACCAGCACACTTAGTCTGCTCTGTGAAAACATTTTAAAGGCTCCTCGTGCTCTCTTTGAAACAGAAACTCTAGAAGAACAGGGGTTTTATTTTCTTGTCATATAACCAGGAAGGGGAACTAAAAGACTAATAGTATAAATGTTGTGTTTCAGATGAGGGGTTAACTGATAATACCAGTAGAGCTGAAAGAACTGTAAGAAATTGCAAGGAGAAAGGGGAGAATGTGGATTCAGAAACTCACATGCCTAGTGATACCCAAGAACACAGAAAAGACCAGTATTATTTCAGGAAAAGGAAAGGTTCTTTGGAAGCTCCCTGCAGCCAAGGTTTGTATAAATGTTTATGTCAAAGTTTTGTAATTAAGCCTCATTATCTACTCTACTTCAAAGAATTACTAAATGTTTAATTAGATTAGTGGGGTTTTGTTTTTTTTTTTATGCTGGAGGACATTCAATTAACTGTGAGATGATTTCAGATATATTTGTTGTTAAAGCTCCACTTGAGTAAATTCAGAAGTCTCCAGATAAGTTTTTGTCATGTTGCTGACTTTGGCTTTCAGTTTGAGACATTAGAGGAGATAAACAGCAGAGACATAAAGAATATTCGGTGGGAGGACTAGGATTGTGTAATGTCTCAGATTTTTAAGACACATCCATTTATCCCTCTTTAAAACAAAACAAAACAAACAACAAACAGGCCTCCCAGGGGTATCAACCAAACATGGTATAACAAATTACAGTAAGAATAGGGACAAAGATAGCTGGACAAGGTGACCAGTAGGAGGATAGAGGTCCCAAGAGGAGGCAAAAGCATCAGAAACATCCCCTACTCCCACCGTCTGGAGTCCAACACCAACACCAAGCTATGCAACCATAATGTATATGCAGAGGAAGCTAGCTTAGATCCATACAGGGTCCATGAATTGTTGTGTCGTCTCTGTGAGCACCTATGATCCCTGTTGAGTTGACATTGTGGGTCATGTTCTCATGGTTTCCCCCACCTCCTTGATTCCTAGAATCCTTCCCCCTCTCTGCAGAGTTCCCCTGGCTTCACCTAGTGTGTGGCTGTGGGTCTCTGCATCTGCTCCCATCAGTTGCTGGACGATGCCTCTGATGACAACTGTGCTAGGTGCCAATCTATGAGTATGGCAGAAGATCATTAGCAATCATTTCATTGAGTTTTTCTGTTGTTGGCAAGTTGTTTATTTGGTTGGTTGTTTTGGGTTGGTTTTTGTTTGTTTGTCTTTTGCTGATCATATTTGGTTCTATCCTGGGTCTCTGGGCTGCCTAGTCTCTGTCTGGTTTATGGCTATCCATGCAGTGTCAGGCATGTGCTCCCTCTCCTGATGTGGGCCTCAAGTTAACCTAATCATTGGTTGGCCACTCCCACAAGTTCTGTGCCACCATTACCCCAGGACATATTGTGGGTTGAAGGTTTTATGGCTAGGTTGATGTCCCATTTTCACTGCTGGGCACCTTGCCTGGTTGAAAAAGATGGCCAGTTCTGGCTCTGCATTCCCCATTACTAGATTTAGGTAGGGTCATTCTCGTAGATTCAAGGGAATTTTCACTTCATTGGTTTCTACATTACCCTTCAAATGTCACCCAATTTCAGTCATCTCTCCCAGTGTTCTCTCCCTTCCTCCCACTTCCCGGACACTTCTGTTCCCATGCCTACCTGCCCCCAGTCCACCCACAAAATCTATTTCTCCTTCCCATGGAAATCTATGTGTCCCCACTTGAGCCCTTTTTTTTGACTTAGCCTCTCTGAGGCTGTGAACTGTAGTCTGGTTATCCTTTACTTTATAGCTAATATCCACTTATAAGTGAGAACGTATCATGTTTGTCTTTCTGGGTCTGGGTTACCTCACTCAGAATGTTTTTTTTTTTTCTAGTTCTAACCATTTGCATACACGTTTCTTGATGTCATTATTTTTAAGAGCTGATTAATACTCTATTGTGTAAATAAATATGCCACATTTTCTTTGTGGAGAGAATTACCTTTTATCTGTTACCTTAAAGTGGCATGTTTGGTTACTGGTGTTAGGGTCTCATGCTTAATGCAGTGGTTTTCTAACTAGCTTGCATCAGAATCACCCAGTCAGCTTATTAAAATATAGTTTGCCTGGTCCTGCCCTCAGAGAGTCTGCTTCAGTGAGTTTTGAGTATCACAAACTTGATTGTTTTTTTGATTTTTTGTTTTTTTTTTTTAAAGGGCAACACACATTTGTCTCCCCAGTTTGGGTAGATCAGGAATTAAGCACTACTTTGCCAGGAATTTTTGACAGTAATTTTGATAAGGGTTCTGTGGAGGTGCTGATTGGGACTGGCTGTCACCTGCAGCCTGGACTCGGGAAGGACTTTCAAGATCATGTGTTTGAGCAAACAGTTCCTTGAGCATGTTGTGCTGAAGGCCTCAGTTCCTATGGACTGGGCGGGGGGCGGGGCGGGGGGGGGCATCTTCAATTTCTTGCAGAATGGACTTCTCCAGTAGAGCTGCTTCTTCATCAGAAAATGCAAGCTGAAGTTAGGAAATTGAATCTGTAGGAAGATAGCAAGTGTTATAATCTTTATATGGAAGTTAATGTTATACTTTTAACTGAAGGGTTAAAAGGGTTCTTTTGGTTAGAAGAAAATTATTCACGTGGGGAGAGAATTATATAAAAATCATAAAGATCAGAAGTTAGAAATCCATAAGAGGAGGTTTTAGAGTTTACTCTCTAGGTTTGAGCTGGAGAATCTGCCTTTGTAACAAATTTACTAAGTGGTACTAACACTATTGATGTAATGGTTATTCTTTTGTTTCTTACCCTAACTCTGTTTTGCTTTTATGTCAGTCTCTATCTTCTCTGATGTGTTTTATGCAGAAAACAAACCTCTAGATTACTGGATTTGGGTGGGTGTACAAGATAAAGTGAGTGGTTGCCAGTCAATTCAGAGTTGAAAAAGCAAGCTCAGAGTCCCAACTTTATTCTGTGTAAGCTTTCAGTCAGGTTTCCTGTGTCCGCACATTTTTCTTCCTTGATAAATGACTACCCCAGGCCTGACTGCCTGGTATCAGATAGGCTTTTTTCTCATGATCCGCCTTGCAGGCCACCCCACACTCTGCTAAGGAAATTGATTCTTCATCAGTGACTTTCCAATTCACCTTCCCCAATCTGTTCAGATTTATCCTCTGTTCTTTCCTCCTGTATTTTCTTTGATAGTTTAAAAAAAATATATCCATCATTGCATCATAGCAGAGTATGGAGAGGAAACGGGGGAAAACATGATCTGTTCATTGGTTTTAGTTCCAACTTAATCTCTCTAGCTTACATGACAAAGAAAAGACTTTAAAGGGACTCTTTGGAAAATGATTTTGTATTGCATTTTCTATGAAAAATAATGCAAAGAATCCCAAAGGCCAGCCTGTTCCTTGGTACCATGTGTGGTAGAACACACACATTGAGAAACAGCTGTAGGAAAAGGAGGTTTGTTTTGTTTTACTATATAGTACTAGTACACATACCCAAAAGAGTTTCCATAATACCAGAACTTGGTTTCCTTACAAAAATGTATATCCTGTTATTAGATGAAGTGAAAAACTGAAACAAGCCGATTTTAACCAGTGTTTGATTGAGTTGTTACTAGAGTGAATATGAACTATTATGATTTCTTCTCAAGCTAGGATTTAAATGAAAAGCAGCAGTTAGTTTTCCCAGTCCACTGATATATGCCCAAGAAATAAATATACAGTTTTAAAAAGAAATTATTCCTTTATAACTCACCTAGCATGAGCTAACTCTGAAAGTTAACAGATGTGTTCCCAGTTTAGAAACACCTTGAACGAGGCAACTAATAAAATACTATATGGTATTCAGTAGGCAGTATCAATTTTTTTGTTTTTTTTTGTCAGTGAACGTTTAATTTTCATAATACCTGTTATGTTTGAACAGTCAACAACACATGAGGAAAAGTCCCTGTGAATGTTTACACAGTGTGAACACATGCTTTAAATATGCCGTGGAGGAGAAGTGCATCCAGTTAACAAAGCTGAAAAGAAAACCCCTTGTTATAAATTACACAAAGCATATAAAAATATTTCTCTGAATGCATAGATTAAGACTTCAGACTCACCTAAGAGCAACCATGCATCTTCATCCCACTGCCAGAGGCAATGACTGCAGAGGACCAGCAAAGGACAGGGTACTGGGCAGAGCCATGTGGAACCCGTCCCCTCATTTGGGACACCGAGAGCCTTGGTCGCTCTGCTTCTGAGCTCTGTAGCACTCTCCTGTAGCCCACCTCCCAGCCAGGTCTCTACTGTTTCTGAGAACCTCTAATCAATTGGGGTGGCTGAAGGAGTTTGAACCCCAGTCATTTAGACATGAATTAATACTGAATTCATTTCTTCCAAGATTGAATCACACTCAATTGTATCAGTAAACTAAGTTTTTCCAAAGCAAATTGGGGAGGAGGGGAGGTTAGTACATCAAGATAAAGTAGTTTCTGATTAATTGAAACACCAGGGAGGTTTCTTCATTAAAGCACTTGGGAGAAGGGGTGACGAGCAACCACCACTCTGCTATGCAAACACTCTACAAGGGGGAAGTCACCAGCTCTACCAGTGTGGGTATGTACGACCCCACGCAGCTGACCCTGAAGAACACTTTAACCTCATTTTAGCATTCAGGTGGCATCGGGAGGCCATAACCTCAGCATAACATTCTCTTCCATTGACATCTGCATGTTTCCACTCAACTGCAGCGTTCTAATAAAATTAATAGTCAGGAAGTTAAGTTTCTTTGGAAACTATAGGCACTATGGGGAGAAAGCTTAAGACAGCAGGGATCCTCGTCAACAGCTGCTCCAGCCCCTGCTCTCCTGTTCATCTGCATGGGCCAGGTCCTATTCCTAAAGTTAAGCTGTTTCAGCAAAACAGAGGCTTTTCCACTTGAATGATGCTGAGAAGGGAAGGACTCTCTGAAAGCATTTTTGGGAAAGATTCTTACACCGTGCTCCAGAGTCTGATCAGGTGCTCACAACTGACTGTCCCGTGGATTGGTGGGGGATTCCTAAGATTCAACAATTTGTTTACAAAAAGCAACAGATCTCAGAGTTATGTAAAAATCCTAATAATTTCCAAAATAACCTTTATCTTTGATACAAAAATAAAGATGCTAACTCCTTTAGTTCAGTTTCCCACAAACTGTTAAAACAGCAACAAATTCAGGCTAGAAAACTGCTTTTCATTTCTGGTGGGAAGTGAGAGTGGTGGACGTGGACCAGCAGTGTTTGTGCTCTTCTTGGATGGTGCAATTCAACACGGATGACAGGAACTGCTCAGTGTAAAAATGGAGTGGTTCCTTTAGAAAGCATTAGAGAGCCCTCTAGTGGCTGTGGAGGGAGGAGATGCAAAGTGGCAGCCATGGGTGGTCACAAAAGAAAAGTGAGGGAGGGGAAGCTCTTTTGGTTAACAGCCTATTTACAGTTTAGTAACTATACTTTTAAATACTTTGAACCTGAGTAACATTTATAAATATGCTATATGGAATCTCACAGCCACAGGTCACACCAGAATCCCTTTGTCCAGGGCCTGTGCTTTCTTTCCCCAGTCCTCCTCCCTAGTCAGTTCAAAATCTCAGGTGCATCATGAGCATGCAACACCACGAGAAGTGCGCCTGGCCCTTCAGGTGCACTGTCAACAGAGGTGGCTGGAAACAGGTCCGCCCTCTCAGTTTCTGCTTCAACAACCCTCTAGATTCTGCACATAAAACACTGGCTATCGTACCTCCGGCTTCTGCCTCTCAAGACTACTTTTCAGCTGTTCAAAGATTCAGCAATAGGTTTATTGTGCACCAAGAGGTTTGGAAGAGTGGCACCACTGCCGGGGGGTTGGGGTTCCCTCCTGCTGAGGCAAGATATTAGTGTACACTACCCAGTGACACCAGGGGCCTGGTGGGCATCCGAAGCTTTGGGATCAATGGCTTGTCCTTTGGCCCAGAGGTGACACATACTGTCACAATACTCAGTGATAAAGACCCTGCTGCATTAGTATGTCAGTTTTGAAGCTCTCCGGTTGTAGCAAGGTCTCTCAGTCAGTGTGGATGCAGCATTCCTGAACAGAAAATTATTCTCACTGATCATTCAGAACCAGCTCCAGCTCCTGGAAATCCTGGAGTCGGGCAACATCTTTGTCCTTTCTCAGCAGAGTGTTGGGTAACTTCCTGATCTTTTTCACTTGGTCTGGATTAACACCCAGCTCACAGCAACTCATCCTGAGCAGTTCTTGGTAGGTGAGCTCTTGTCGGTCCAGTTCAATTTCTATGAAATCATTTTCCTGAAGAGATGGGTTCTGAATTCTCACCTTGAGTACCAGCTCTTTCGTATTAAATGGAAGTGCTCCAGTGAAGAAAAATGGCTGAAATGCTGGCGCTGGTCCTGCTAATGTCCCATTCTGAGGCTCCAAAGACACTGATGGCTTGGGTGGGACAGAGGAGCGGTTCTGACTCACTGGTGGCTGACCCACAGGACTAGGTTTTGTGTTTTCTGGTGTTCTGAGTATGGAAGAGGGGGCAGAAATATCGCTATTCTGAACCAGTGCCAAAGAAGTGTGGGCCCTAGGAAAGGCTCCTAGCTGAGGGGGTTCTGTGGGGGGCAGCAATGGAGGTGAGCCATCTGTAGGGGGTGATGCAGGAGGTGTGGAGGAGCCCCTATTCTGCAACTGGGTGGAATCTTCTGCTGCAGGAGAATGGATAAAAGGGAAGGCTGGGTTGGCCAGATAGTTGGGAACAAAGGGCAGTTCTGACTCCTTCAGCTGAGGGAGCTCGTCATCGTCATCATCGTCTTCCACTCCCATTAACTTCCTGATCTCTCTCCTTGATGTTAACTGCACCGGCATTTCTCCTTTTGCTGTAAGGATTTCTCGGTCAGCCCCTGATTTTAGCAAGTAAGAGACCACCTGGCCATGGTTGCATTTACATGCCCAGTGTAAACAGGTCCAGCCGTTGATCTCATTTTGGGAGTTCACATTCACCCCGCTTTCCACCAGTT